ACATCCCTACACGTGCCAGTGCCCAGACATGGTGATGCTGAGCCGGGATGGAGGTTTTTCCATGGGTTTTCCTCACAATTTGATGGTTACCCTCTGGTAAACTAACATAGCTATGTAAAATCACAATTTTTAATTGGAAAATTAACTATAAATGACCATTTTCAATAGCTATGTTAAATTACCAGAGGGTAAGCAATGTTAAGCATGATTCTCCCCGTTCAAGTTGTATCATGTTGTGAGATTCTTAATGGGTTTTCTGGCTATTCCTATCATAGACAGACCCATATTGAAAGTCGGTTCACCGACTTTCAAACTCCGCAACTCGGTTACCATGATTTACTCCAGTGGTTTGTTGAGAGGATATGGGAATTTCAGAAATATGTTTTTTGATCACTATAGCTTCAGTTTTGTTGTTTTGAAATTGCGATATTTTATCATATTCTATCTACTCCAGACTCCAGGATGACTAATTATATGTATTCTGGAACTGGTTGGTGGTTTGGAACATGTTTTTCTTTTTCCATATATTGGGGTCATGTCATCATCCCAACTGACGAAGTCCATGATTTTTCAGAGGGGTAGGCGAAAAACCACCAACCAGGGAACAAAACATGGTGACATCCCGCAGGATCTGAACTTCTCACGCAACTGGCTGCCCTAAATCTATGCTGCAGGGATGACCCCGAAAAAATGTGCGAAAAATATGGCGAGCATAATATATCCATACATTATTATACATAGATCATACATGTCATATATATGGATGTGGGTCAAAATGGAAGACCTAGGGGACCACAGATGTTAGTCTAGTTTAGTATTAACCATCCATAATTTTGGGGTACCTAATTTTGACCCATACCCATATGTTTACGCATACACTGCTGACACAGATCTATTCAACATAGTCTATCTATATTTCAGTTACGTTCAACTAATGTCGTACAAGGTTGCACAGATCAAGGTGTGTGCATTTCCTTTTCTGATTTGATCCCCAGTTGTGAATTCCTCTCACTTCGACACCCTTCGACACCACGGTGTTCCACGGTTTTCCAACGTGAGGCTTGCGAGTCTGTCCAACTTGGGGACATGTCTCTTCGAGTGCAACCAACTGGATGAGGTGAATTTTCCGGGGGAATCTCCGAGATGTGAAATGGAGATGTTCATCTATCTATTTATCTATCTAAGATAAAATATCAATAGATGAACATCAAAAGATAAATAGATATAAATGGATATATATATATATATATCTAAGATTTAAATTGTTAATGTTTAAATATCAAAAGATCATCTCTCTCTCTCTCTCTCTACACACCTTATGGATTTTCAACAACAAATCACGTGGGCGAGATTATGAGAGGGTAATCATCCAAGAAATGGAAACAGGCACGACAAGCCACCAATTGGGCTGAAATTACTATGAGGCATGGTGGGAAATGTCAGCCATGTGACAAATTATAATCACAAATTCTACACATAGTCTCACAAAGAGGCATCCCAATGAATCAACCAGGGTTTATTTATTTGGCAGTATCCAATACTGTCATTGGGTCATTGCGATTGAAGGTTTACTTTCAAAAACACATTTAGTCAAATGACAGAATTCTCACCGTCGAAGATAGATCATCCACTTGGAAGTAGTTGTGTATCTACAGTAGTTTTATGTAGTCTTGTATGTGTGTACTTATAATTTAATCATTCAAATGTATTCGCGTATACAGTAGATGTGTACGTATAAATGTATACATACATATACACGCATGTGCCTTTGTAGTATATATGGACATGTGTATATACGCTATATATATATATATACGTATAATTAAGTATATATATATATACGCAATGGTTAGTAGCCAACAACTTTGGGTATATGTATGGATATAGTTTCCACTAACCACTGGGGAGGCATGACGAGGTATAACCTGCCAAAACAGAGGATTTTCGATCAAATTTGAGAGGATCCCTTGCTCGCATTCAGAGATGCGGATAGTTTAGCGAGGTGAGAAAACTACCAAAATTTGCCAAGGTTGCCCGCTTAAGTCAGTATGTAAAGAGCTCTCAAAAGGGAAATGCATCAACCAAAATAGATTGTAATTGTGGCGGGTATATCCGGATGTTTTGGCCCAGTGCATACCATCAGTGATATCAGTGGTTCAAGGGCGTACCTGGAGGATCAGTCCAGGAATTACCGGTTGATCACCCTGCTACATACTGCTACGTAATTCACATATATACTGTACATTGTACATATATGAGCGATGGCTCTTATTTGCGTATATGGAAAGTAGTATTCGGGCGTACCCCTGTTTGTCAAAAACATCATATTTAGCTTGTAAAACGAGGTAGGAACACCCCGAGAACGAGGTAGGCATTTCATGTTCAGCATTTAGCTTTGATGAAATCAAGATGTATCTGTGAGTGTCTGGGTCCTGGCCGCATAGAGTGCGTTGCCTATATTGATGCAGCCGTTTCGGCACGGGGAAGAGGAAGATGGCCCGAAAAAGGCAGCGGGTGAGATTCGATCCAAGGACAGGGATCCAATGTTTCAATGGTTGAAATTTCATCAGTGGGTTGAACTTGCGGAACTTGGCCATTTTGTCGTGCCAGATGCCAGAAACATCACTGTGAGATTGCAGGAGCGGCAAATGGCAAGCTTTCCGTGTGGCGCCGGGCAGCTGTGACAAAAAAACATCCTTCCACACCAACGAAGCAGACGCATGGGCATGGCTTCTTATCTATGCGGACAGGCCGACCGTACTGGATATTCCAGAGCCATTTCGCTATTTGGCTTCCAAGGAGTGTGGGGGCACCTTTCGGTGATAAACCGAGGGACTGACGGGCTGGTGTGTCTGCGTGTGTGTGTGTGTGCGTGGGTGCGTGGGTCTGTGTGTGTGTGTGTGCGTGTGTGTGTGTGTGTGCGTGGGTGCGTGGGTGTGTGTGTGTGTGTGCGTGGGTGCGTGGGTGTGTGTGTGTGCGTGATGCAAAGCCATTTTGACAAAGCCCGCGTCACGGACTGTACGGCACCTTGCGTCAAAATTGTCATTGACAACGACACTCCAGTCCCTGCCAAGGTCTTCAAACTTGAGACCCCGCCAGACTTCAAAATTAGCAGAACGTATTGTGTTTCTGCCGTTGCCAACAAGTACAATGCCCTTGGTGTGTCAATTTTCAATCACGTCTATTCGACTCGTCCCACTACAGTACGGGTGCATGTGTCTTCAGTTGCTGAATCACCTGGGCCGGAAGCTTGGCGCCGGGGATATTATGGCCGAGGCGCTGAACAGTGGCAGACAGACCCGCAGCCACTTCAGCCAGGTGAAAGCAGCCACTTGTCCAAAAGGATGGACGCGCAGTGTGCGCAGCTGCCTCACCATCGGAATCGGGTGCATGGTCGCTACAGCTTTGAGAAGGCAATAGCCACTGTTCGGCGGCAACAAGAGCGAAGAAGACGACGCAGACAAATCAATGCGGATCGATCCTCTTCGTCTTCATCCTCCGGTTCCAGCACGGATTCTGATGAATCGTCAGTGAGTGTGTGAAAAACAAGTGCGGCGTTGGAGAACGAGGTCAAACCCCAAAAAACGTTACGGGACTGGAGAACGAGGTAGGAACACCCCGTCAATTGCGTTATGTACCAAATATGGTTCGCAGCTCATATATATAATTATATAATATTATATATATATAATCATAATATATATATATATATATATACCTGGATCATCGTTCGTTACATTATTATTTGCCACCCTGTACCTTTTAGCCATCCGAGCATAAATTTCCATTCGTCACTTAAATCAAATATCTCGAGCGTTTTTCTTTCAAAGCCATTGCTGGCTCAATTTTTTCCTTGTGGTCCTCTTTTGACCTTGTGCCCCCTGTGTTCTGAGGCCGTTGGACAATTTTGAACACCCCTTGTGTGCCATAGAAGTGTGCTCCAGGTACGCGATGCTACAACCTTGGCTGCCGGCAAACTTTAGCAGGCCAGCACGGGTGGGAAATCGTGGATGCTAGATTGCTATATTGTCTACAGGTCAAGTCTGGATCTTCATAAGCTGGTTGGTGCTCAAACATGGGGGTCAAGTATAAAAAAGACTGCCGCTTCTTTGAAGCCATTTGGGATCAATTGGTACGTGGCAAACACTGCGGTTGCTGCCATGGGTCAGCAGGAGCAACACAAGTTGGTAGCTGAAATCTTCAAGTGCTGGAAGGCCAATGAGGATCTATGCCGTAGGGCAGCGACTGGTAAGCTAGCCAACGTTGCAAAACCAAAAGCTTTGACACGGCGTGATGTCAGCATCAATGTGGAGCTTCTGACCCCGATTCTCCAACATATTGGAACATAGCCTGAATTGTCTTAAAGTATCCTTTGTACAAGACTTGAATGTTTTTGTTTTCAAAACCGGCCTTCAAAACAGTAGTTGAAATTGCTCGTCTGACACGGCGTGATGTCAGCATCAATGTGGAGCTTCTGACCCCGATTCTCCAACATATTCGAACATAGCCTGAATTGTCTTAAAGTATCCTTGTACAAGACTTGAATGTTTTTGTTTTCAAAACCGGCCTTCAAAACAGTAGTTAAAATTGCTCGTCTTCCGGGAAGTTAAATCTCGAGATCAAACCGCCCATGGACTGCTGAGGACTTCGCCCATCCGTTGGCTTGCTCACTGAAGCTGTCCAGGAGCTGCTGGTGCATTGCCGGCCTCGCGGAAAGGCTCTTCCGTCCGGCAGGGGCCTTTGGTGTGTCTGCATGTGTGTGTGTGCGTGTGTAAATGGGTCTCTTCCATTTTCTTTCCATATACCGTCTTAGGATCAAATTTCATGACTGCAGCAACGGTGTTTTGTATACATATAATGGATTTAGAATCACTAGCTGCAGCCCCGCCCAAGGTGCTGTCATTGCTTGTGAGAGCTGGATTTTGAGAAACCTCATCTCGATTTTTTCCAGAGCAGTCAAGCGAGGACATCGTCCCAGGGACCCAAACCTGCTTAGACTCATGGAAGTGGCAGAGATCCCCATTCCTGATGTTTCCCCTCGTGGTTCTTCAAGTCCTTTGGCCATCTTAATCTGATCCCCATTTCACCTTATATATATATATATATAGCATACATATATACGTATACATAACAGGGGATGCTAAATGTCCATTTTTCTTCACATCATCCAACTATTGGGGGATATATTTTTAACTTATCTTAACATTCGGCTTTTTTTTGGCAATAGCTTCTGGCCATCCATCCATTGCCCCAGGTTCTTCCCTGGAACCGCCTGGTGATGATTCCGGAGGTGATGCTGATTGCGGCGACCATGGCCTTGCCGCTGCCGCAGCCGATGGGGGAGATGATGGGGGAGATGATGATTGGGGTGATGATGGTGAAGGGGGTGAGTGCATGGAAAGTGAGCATGAGGAAGATGATCCGGTTGTTGAACCCGAAGAAGTCCCAATGACAGCTCCCCCTGTGAAGACACCAGCCCCAGTGGTGGAACCCCCTGAAGAAACCCCTGTGGGAAAAGCGACCGTGGAACCCGTCAACAAGATCCCAGCGGTTGCTCCCAAACCAATGCAGGACTATTTATAGAACCATACTGTAACACTACGATATGCGTTGAACATAGCATCTTATATTATTTCCTTTAGGACACAAAGTCTTTGGGGTTACCATTTTGTAGGAGGCATCAACGCCAGCTTTGACATCAAGCAGCCCTGCCAACACCAGCGAGTTGAAGCAAGGTCAGGTTTCCAGTCCGACCAGTGTTTTTTTAGTCCAACCATATTCAACTCCTATATGTTTCACTTATTTGACTTCCACAGCACAGCCCAGGACCGAACCTGAAGAAGTCAGTGCCTCTTCGCTTGGGGCAACCTCGGCCAGGTGTCTTGCAAGCACTTCGCGCTGGATGTCATGGTGTGCAGTTGGGGTTGTTTGCATTAAATTTGATGTATGGGTTATTGTTTGCCTACCCTCAGGAAAACCTACTGGCGATCATGTTATCGAGCACACGGACAAGGGATACCATTGTGCGACTTGCAACCTTACCGGGTCTGACCTCAAGTGCAAACCTTGTTCGGGGAAACCGGATAGTAGCAAGGGTCCTGGGGAGAAAGAACCCGAAGAGAAAGTTGAAGAGAAAGCCACAACCATGGACGAATCTGAGCTGCTGTTAGAGCAACTCTTGCAGGAAGAGTTGGAGCTTGCTCAAATGCTTGAGGAATCTATGGCGTTGTCACTGACGCAGCCACATGTGGATGCTGTCGTGCCAGCGGACAAGGTCCAGGACCAAGAGGACCCTGAGCTTCAAAAAGCTCTTGAGATGTCACTGCAGGACTTGCCCAAGGCAGATTCGAATGAGGACGATTTGGCAGAAGCCATCGCCCTGTCAATGACATGTCCAACATCGAGTCCAGAGGAGCCAGCTGCTTCCAGCCCAGAGGCTGGAACGCAGGATGGCGCCATTCTTGCTGGCAAGGACCTATACAACATGCAGCTGATCGTGAACATGGGCTTCACAAAGGGTCAAGCCATTTGGGGGGTCAAGAGGGCCAACCAAGGAAATGGAAGTGTAGACCTTGCGCTTCAGCATGCCTCATGGAAGTGTGATGCGGAAATCCTGATGGCAAAGCGCCAAAAGTTGGATGAGCTGGTCTGCCAGAGCAGGCCACTTCAGCCCCAGGAGGTTGTAGGCACAGCATCTTCCAATCCAGCTGGTCCAACAGAATGTCATGTTCTTAGCAAAAATAGATACAACCTCAGCCTGTGCATTCCATGTGTTCCCATTTTCCGTTTTTTCGACAAAATAATTTTGGCCACTCAGGCATGGACAACATTGATACTTTGCCTATGGGGGATACATTGGTCGATGCGGTCATTGCTGCTACCCAAGAGTCAGAGATCTTGAGAGCAAAAACCATGACCCTAGATGAGACCCATGACACCGAACCTGCCCAAGCTGACATTGCCAACCCAGCCAAGGAGGTTGAACCTGCAGATGCTGTCGATCCTTCAGACAAGGATCGCCCTGATGCGATTTTGCAGTCCTTGCTCCCGATCACTCCCGGGGAGCAGCGTGGGCCCAAAGGCCGGGGACGAGGCAAAGGACGTGGGCGGGGGAAAGGCCGTGGGAAAAACAAGAAGGCAGAAGGTGAGATGGAACATGAGGTTGAGGAACAGCAGCCATCAGCTTCCAGCTCATGCAAAAGAAAGAAAAGAACACCTGCGACGGACAAGACTGAAAGTACCAAAGAGACCAAGATCACCAAGAAAGGCAAGCGAGACGCAGACACCAAAAAGGCCAAGGGAGACGCAGACACCAAAAAGGCAAAGGGAGACGCAGACAAACGCAAGAAACGTGAACCGAAAGCAAAGGCTTCCCCCAAGAAGAAAACCACGCCTGTCAAGGGGGTCCGTGCAAAGCGTGCTAGTGGCAGTAAGTCACCTGAGGAAGCATTGAAAAAGAAGAAATTGTTAAGCCGAAAAAGCAGTGCATACCACACGGCCAAAAGGAAGGCCCTTCAGGAAGGGAAAACAAAGGAAGAAGCCTTGAAGTTGGCTACTGCAGTACCTTGACAGATTGTGCATGCACGCGTTGGGGTCTACAGGACACATGAACCAAACATAACCAAACACTCCGGGTATCTCCGGGTAGAGCCAAACATCGCCATCCAAGGCATACCACAGCATTGTCGACACCGGCGAGATTGACCAGAGCGAGGAGACTGGCAACTGAGCAAGTGAGAGGGCGGCCGTGAAAACATGGCCATGGGGGTTGTAGATCAACTTGGTCTACCAGGGGTGTCATTGCATAGCAATTTAGCCCTTTCGTGCGCTTTTGAAACATGTGCTATCTTGGACCATGGTTGAAATGCCATGACTTATATATATCCATCAATCTGGTCAGCCGGTGTAGCAGCATGGCGCGGTGTGCAAAAATGCCATGAATGCAACGGGTGCAGCCCGTCGTCGCTCAAACTCACACAGTGGTGTTCGGTCTTTTTGGGATGGTGAAATTCACTCACGCAATGCTTCCAGATTTGGTTTAATAAAATATCACCACCAAGACGATATACCACCACCGAGAGAGATGTATATAATATATACCTAGAATATAATATATCCCATCGAGAAACTTGCCACCTCAGCCCCGTGCAGGCATGCCCCATTGGCTGCGGGAGGCCGCAGCTGCTGGTCACGCCTGGCTTGGATTGCAGCGATTGCTGGTCATGCTTTTACTTAATTTATGTTTTAGACCCATGACAAAACATGCAGAGCCTTTTTCTGGGATCAAAGCTGCTGAAACCACAGCTAGAGGGGTGCAATGACTTGGTGCCCTGTTGCCAACCTTCAGCATGTTCAAGCGCCTAAGGCCCATTTACATGTACGAATATGATGTTGAAATCCCACATGGCTTGCAGTGCGTCCATGATGATTTCCCGAAAAGTCTGCGCCCTGGGCAGGTGATGATAGCTTTGGCTCGGATCTTAAAATCTGCAATGTTAAGAAAAAGGTTATATAGCTATAGGTGAACCAGCCTGTCATTCGCATGGATGATCTCTAGTGGGTCCTAGGTTTTGTTGGCATCATGGGTTGATGCCCCTTTGACCTCTTTCGATTTCGTGGAAATCTTTAGCGGCCGTGCCGAAGTTACAAGACGAATGCAGTGGGCCCAGTTCAAGTCCAACCTTAAACTGCATTCCTGGCGTACTTTTTCCCAAAAAATGTCATGGGGTTATAAGGTCAGAAAGCGGCTATCGCTGCGCAGCCTATGATCGCGACTACTCCAAATCAATGGATTTTCTGACGCCTGCAGGGTATTTGCCCCTTGTTTTGGATTATGGTATTATGACAATTCATTGGAAACATAACAATACCATATGGCCCCTTATATATATCTTAAACACATCCCCCACCCCTTAAAATGTATATTGAGGGGGGGGGGAGCCGGGAATTCTCATACATTTCCAGGGCCCCCCCCACCTCTGAAACGGGTATTTTTGTATGAACTAGTTTTTGTAAAATTAAGAGATTACCTAAAGAGGTGGGGAGTGTTCCTCATACATTTTCAGTATTTGGCTTCAAAAGCTTGTTTAGAAAAAGGTGGGGAGGCGGTTTCATACATTGATTTTGCAAGGCCATGGATCTTTGATGCTCATGGAGTTTTCCTGGGGAATCTTACGAAATAGCATGACGCTTTTGACCACCCCCCCCTGAAATCTAAGTTTGCCAAATTATGGGAGGCCACCTACCCCCCCTGGGTTAATACATTAATAATTCCCAAGTTTGGAGGGGGGGTGCGAAATTTGGAAGGGGGGGGGGCGCAGATGAAGTATCATGAATGTATGCACCTGGGGGGTCAGCAGCAGTTCCATGCCGCACATTCATTATACATGAAGGTTGTGTTGAGAAGCCTAAATGTACTAAATGCAATAGTATGCAGTAGTTGTTTCTGATTCTTATCTATTGTTAGGGTGCCTTTTTCTAACATTTTTCAGGATTGCACGGTACCGAAAGGATGTTTTTTTTAGGTTGAGCCTTGGGTTGAAGATGGTTGAAGTGTGTTGATCTAATCCAACCCTGCCCATTCCGTATAGCTCTTTCAACTTCTGTTTTTTATCAAACATTGAGTTCCAAAGTCTTATGGTGTCAGATGCTTTCAACAGTCTTACTCACAGGGTACTGCAGAGATTCACCTTTCTTCACCAGCCCATAGTTCTCAATATCCTCCGACCCTGGCTATCAACTCCCCAACACCAACTGCGGGTTTTCTGTTTGTCATGTTTGAAGGGGGGGGGACCTGCACATCAGTGCAGCCATACATTTCAGGTACCGGGGGGCAGGGCACATCCAGGAGAATCCTAGGGTCGGTGGTTCCAATAGTTTCCAGTAGTAGGGAGAATGGCAGCCCAGAGCATGGGAATAAAATGTATGAAAGGGGGGGGGACCTGCACACCAGTGCAGCCATACATTTCAAGTACTGGGGGTGGGGCACATCCAGGAGAATCCTAGGAGTTCCAGGTGGTTCCAATAGTTTCCAGTAGTAGGCAGAATGGCAACGCATGCCGACACAGCCCAGAGCATGGGAATAAAATGTATGAAAGGGGGGGGGACCTGCACACCAGTGCATCCATACATTTCAGGTACTGGGGGTGGGGCACATCCAGGAGAATCCTAGGAGTTCCAGGTGGTTCCAATAGTTTCCAGTAGTAGGGAGAATGGCAACGCATGCCAGCACAGCCCAGAGCATGGGAATAAAATGTATGAAACGGGGGGGGACCTGCACACCAGTGCAGCCATACATTTCAGGTACTGGGGGTGTGGCACATCCAGGAGAATCCTAGGAGTTCCAGGTGGTTCCAATAGTTTCCAGTAGTAGGGAGAATGGCAACGCATGCCAGCACAGCCCAGAGCATGGGGAAAAAAAGTATGAAAGGGGGGGGGGACCTGCACACCAGTGCAACCATACATTTCAGGTACTCGGGGTGGGGCACATCCAGGAGAATCCTAGGAGTTCCAGGTGGTTCCAATAGTTTCCAGTAGTAGGGAGAATGGCGACGCATGCCAACACAGCCCAGAGCATAGGAAAAAATGTATGAAAGGGGGGGGACCTGCACACCAGTGCAGCCATACATTTCAGGTACTGGGGGTGGGGCACATCCAGGAGAATCCTAGGAGTTCCAGGTGGTTCCAATAGTTTCCAGTAGTAGGGAGAATGGCAACGCATGCCAACACAGCCCAGAGCATGGGAATAAAATATATGAAGGGGGGGGACCTGCACATGGCACATCCAGGAGAATCCTAGGAGTTCCAGGTGGTTCCAATAGTTTCCAGTAGTAGGGAGAATGGCAACGCATGCCAACACAGCCCAGAGCATGGGAATAAAATGTAGGAAAGGGGGGGGGGACCTGCACACCAGTGCAGCCATACGTTTCAGGTACTGGCGGAGGGGCACATCCAGGAGAATCCTAGGAGTTCCAGGTGGTTCCAATAGTATCCACCAGTATGGAGAAGAGCAACGCATGCCAACACAGCCCAGAGCATGGGAATAAAATGTATGAAAGGGGAGGGGTGACCGGCACACCAGTGGGGCACATCCAGGAGAATCCTAGGAATTCCAGGTGGTTCCAATAGTTTTTAGTAGTAGGGAGAATGGCAACGCATGCCAACACAGCCCAGAGGGCATGGGAATAAAATGTATGAAAGGGGGGGGGACCTGCACACCAGTGCAGCCATACATTTCAGGTACTGGGGGTGGGGCACATCCAGGAGAATCCTAGGAGTTCCAGGTGGTTCCAATAGTATCCACCAGTATGGAGAAGGGCAACGCATGCCAACAGACCCCAGAGCATGGGAATAAAATGTATGAAAGGGGGGGGGGACCTGCACACCAGTGCAGCCATACATTTCAGGTACTGGGGGTGGGGCACATCTAGGAGAATCCTAGGAGTTTTAGGTGGTTCCAATAGTATTCACCAGTATGGAGAAGGGCAACGCATGCCAACAGACGCCAGAGCATGGGAATAAAATGTATGAAAGGGGGGGGGGACCTGCACACCAGTGCAGCCATACATTTCAGGTACTGGGGGTGGGGCACATCCAGGAGAATCCTAGGAGTTCCAGGTGGTTCCAATAGTATCCACCAGTATGGAGAAGGGCAACGCATGCCAACAGACCCCAGAGCATGGGAATAAAATGTATGAAAGGGGGGGGGACATGCACACCAGTGCAGCCATACATTTCAGGTACTGAAGGTGGGGCACATCTAGGAGAATCCTAGGAGTTCCAGGTGGTTCCAATAGTATCCACCAGTATGGAGAAGGGCAACGCATGCCAACAGACCCCAGAGCATGGGAATAAAATGTATGAAAGGGGGGGGGAACCTGCACATCAGTGCAGCCATACATTACTGGGAGCAGGGCAGTGTTTTCCAAGATTCTGACAAAGTCCCACGATATCTTACAAGTGTATGAGCCAGAGGGCCCTCCATGCCTATCGAGAACCGTGAAGCGAGGTTCGAATATCGAGGATCGAGAATCAAGAAGCGGGAAGCGAGGATCGAGGATACTGGATCGAGAATTGAGAATCGAGAATGGAGAATTGAGAATCGAGAATCGGGAATCGAGAAGCGAGGATCGAGGATCGAGAATCGAGAATGGGGCTTGTCAAGCCAGGTCGGGAAAATTGATGAGAATGGCAGACAGGTTCAGAACAGAGTGGAAGTTTCAATGTTCAAATACTTCTTGTTGCTTCCAAATGATTCTGCATCTTTCCTTCGAAAATTAAATGCAACAAACTTCAAAGCATCGTGAAAAGAAATTAGCAGCCGTGTGCAGCTGTCCTGTTTTTAAAGCATCGAAATTTCGTGAGTTTGCAATAGTTTGCGACCTTAGCAAAGAGAACGACTGGAAATTGCTTTGGACCCATACATTCTGTGGCCAGATATCGAAAGAAATCGTGGAAATCAATCGAAGGAAATCGTCCGCTTTTGAGGTTGAAACAACATAGTCCCCCCTTACTTTCGTATATTTCCAGTGATTTACAGAAACCACCTAGTCCCCCCTATATTTTATACATTTGATTTTGTCTCATCTTATCCAGGTTACTGCAGTAAATGACCTGGTCCCCCCTATGTTTCATACACTTTAAGATTTTTAACTTGCAATGAATTAATAGTTCCTAGTAGCAGCTCACCCCCCAGAGGAATACATTTTGGGGGTTTCCCAAGCATTGTTTAAGTGCTGGTGCAGAGCAGGTCCCCCCCATGTCTCATTCAATCAAAAATGATAATGTATAAACCTTCTTGACACCTCTTTTAAGCCTCTTTCCGTCGCCGGGCTTGACCACCTGCTCCCCCCCCCCATTCCTACATTCGATGGAAATGTATGAAGGGGAGGGGGGGTAGATACACACGGAAGGCAGGGTGGTTTAAACACCAATGACCAAGGTTCTGCCTTTTTCATATTTGACATCCCCAAGGGTTATAATGATATATATATAATGATTACCAACCAACCTTAATAGCCCTTATATATCTCAAGCATATCTCAAGCGAATTCTGCCTTTTCATTTTTGGTCCCTAAGATCACCTACCCTGCTGCCTCCAATCCAAGGGTGGCGTTGATGACCGTGATGCAGATGCCAGTCAATGCCTTGGGATTGCTGGCGCCCGACTGCTCAAGTTGGGGTGTCCCCGCAAGGGGCACATCTCTTCGCTCAGTTATCAACATCTTTGGGAATGTGTTTCTGGATTGGGTGAATCGATCTGGTTGCATGGTATCACGGAAACCTGCATGCATTTCATGATAGAATGTTGCATTCAATTCTTGCTCATGATTTATCGTCATCTTATGATTATTGATTATTGGGTACCTCAGGACGGTGCTTCTCATCCTTGTGATCCTATCCAGAAATGTAATTTGGGTCTTGGAGCAACCACATGGGTCACTGTTGCGAAAGAATCGCAGGTTCGATTGGCTGGTGAACCATGTTTGCTATGTTTCTGGCCTTCCAACCAAATTGGGTACCGTTTTGAGCATCCCTGAATGATCTACAGTTAGGAATCTTTTGCATGAATGTTTTGGCTTTTCCATGCAAAACCACAAACCGAGGCTTTCCAGACTGAATTTTGGATGTGCTTGCATGGAAGTCCAACATCAAAGAGAACTATTGTTTACAGCTGCATGCAAGAGATCCAAATGCTAGACTTGGGGCCCCTAACGAAAGCAGAGAAGGAACGCCGCACCAAAAAAAAGTTGACTCGACACTTTCCTGCGCTGGCAATGGTTGGTTGGATTACCAGTTTATAATATAGGGTCGTTTTCGGATGATTAATGGGTGATGTGGGGCTGTCCCAAAATGGGGGGTGAATCAAAAGTTTTAAGCCCTGAAACAATCATATTCGTTCACCCTTAAACTTTGAAACATGCCCATATAATATATCATACCAACCAACCATTGCATGTGCAAAATAAACCGGTACCTTCTTTCAGGTAGCTATGTTGACAAAGCTGGACGCAAGCGTTTTGTCGGCACTGCTGATTTAAAAGGCAGTCAGTTTCTTTGGCAGAAATTGGGTTGAACATGGTTTAAAGGTACCCCTTAAATATTTTTGATCACTGGGATTTTTGCATAATATGTATGGAAGGATTCTGGAACAGGTTGGGGGACCATTTTCTGTTCGAATATGAGATTTGCATGCTTTGGGTTAACTATTGCTCGAGGATGAGACCTGGTAGAGAATGCCTCAAGACACCCCATACACCATTCTGAGATTTCCCTTACCAGTGGAAAGCATGGTGTGTATACATGCATAATCATATTCGGTCTTGAAATGTCACCAGTGATATACTGCAATAAGTAGCAGCCATCGCATTCCAGTGCCAAATTTAAGGCTCCTGTCCACCCATCCATCCATGGCCCTCGCCCAGGAATTATCCTGCTGGCTTCGGAGATGCTTTGCGCGATGCTTGGGAAACCCACATGGCTTCTGCACCTGGTCGCCGGGAGCTTCGTTTCAAGCCCCAATGCATGAAACCCTTATCCCTCCGGGCCCAATTTGAGAACATGCCGATGGGGGATTGCTGGGAAGAAGCTCGCCTTTGGGAGCCCATTGAGTACCTATTCAAAAGCAAAAAACTAAGGTCGGGACATTTTATCAGCCTAAAGTCAATAGATCGACATTGCAATTTTCGTGTTGGTTGCAATTCCCACAAAAGCAAAAAACACGTAATGGGTACGAGTGCTTTCTTTGGGAGGGAAAGTCAACAAAAAAAATGCTATGGACCACCATGCTCATTATAGTGGCACCGCATGATGGGCCCAAACTTGCTGATTCTATTGCCTTTTTAACACATATTAAATTAATATATAGAAATACCACCCATATACACACAACTAAATGGGATATCCGGGGAATAGATAAATCGAGGCATCCCCTGTTATATCCCGTAACTGTTTCCTAATAGTCCCTCCACAAGTAGGCATGCTTGCAATTTCCCTGAAGGATCCCCGAAGAGTGGGAATTGCCAATGAAGACTTTCTGGGCGGAATACAAAGACAAGGCCCAGATGCTAGCTTCAAAAGTAAGAGCCCTTCATCGGAATTGGTTTTACACAGGGTACTGAAACAAGATGACCAGATGCCAAACAGGCTTGTATTAGTCTAACTCCCTTTCTTTGTGGCGCAGGTCCTGTGCACGGAGACAGTACGCACAGAGATCACTGACATTCTGAAGTTTGCTCAGGAAAACCAAAACTGATTTGGGATGTGCTGACACATACTTGCCAACAGTGGCCCCGGGGTATGATGTGCGAGCGAATTCAAGATTATAGAAGAGCAAGTTCTGAAACGTACTGATTTCCAAATTCAGGGCCAAACTGTTGGAAAATTCAAAATTCTTTGCCAAATTCAGGGCGCAACATCGGGCGCAAAAAAGCGCAATCGGGCGCAAAAAAGCGCAATCGGGCGCAAACTAAATAAATGCCCCTTTTGGTCATTGTGAAAGCGCTAACATCGAGCATTTTTCAAAGAACATTGAAAAAAACATTGGCCACCCAAGTCATTTGACAATTGGCATCCATGGAAAGTATGGCAACTGTTTTTTTTTGCAGGGTTTTTGGCTTCCAGTTTGCCAGCGCACCCCGGTGAGATGACTGACACAAGGACTTCCTCTAGCAACACGTTGCTTGAAGGGATGGACCAGGTCAGACGTCCGGCTGCTGAGCTTCCTACTTCTCGTAAGCGCGAACTTGAGGACAAGATTCGTGTCACCTGCCAGCATTTTTGCATGTGCAGCATGGGGTATTTTAAGGGATCCATGTGCGCACCAATAGGCACAAGTTTAGAAACACGATAAGTGCTCCTAAAGTGAGAGGTTGAGAGATGTGCCAAGTTATGTAGCGACATATGTTTTGGAGTTGCCCTTTGTCAACCGCTTGGTGGACTTCCAAAACCTGCTTCCGTTTTGGAAGCCCTTTGTCAAGCGTTTGGACTTCCAAAACCTGCTTCCGTTTTGGGAACGTTTCCAGAACAATAGAAAAAGTAACAAACTAGCTGGAATCCAAAACTTCTGCCTATTAAATTCACATGCATGATGCTGGTTTAATCTAAGGCGAGCCAAGCTCGGATTGAGGCTTTGCGCCGAAGGATTTCCAACCAGGCAAATTCCTGGGTGCCTGATGATGAGGTCCCTGGGGCCCCTTGTGTTGCCCAATTCTCCGGGGCTTACAGTGCTGGGAACCCTCGGGATGGCCCTGCTTCACCTGGGAGTGTGGCCCCAACACAGACTTACCCCGTACCACCACAAGTAGAGTTCATGACTCCTCCTCAATCTGCCCCAGTCCCAAGCCCAGCTATGACTGTGACACCTGAGCCGGCTGTTCCAGCCCCGACCCCAGCCACAGAGACGAGCGTACCTGGCCATGCTGATCGTCCTCCTTCTGTCGAAGTGCCTGGCGCGAGCAGCGAACAGGCCCCACTTGTGACCTTGACTCAGGTCCCTGCACCAGAGGATGTTGGTACTGGGGATTCTGTCTCACAAGCTGAACTTCCAGATGAACCGGATCAAGTGGCAGGCAATCCTTATTGGAAGTTTCTAAGCATATATTTATCTATGCTAACATGATGAACTGCTATCGAAGAAAGCCAATGGGGGGCTGTTGATATGAAAGTGGACCCAAGGTTGCGGCGATACTTTCGTCCAAAGGCTGATGGTTCTCTCAAGTGCTCGCCGCAAGCTCTTCAGATGTGGAAGGATCCAGATCAAAGCATTTTGGCTATTACTTACTGACAAAAAATATCTTCGTACGTGAATTTACAAAAATTCCCTGAATGAGGACTCCAAACTCTTTCCTGATTCCCCATAGCAATTTTCCCGTCGGCTAGCCACCACTAAAAAAAACATCCATAAAGAAAAAGTGCCAAAAAGGAACCCCGCCCCTCGGGGGGGGGGGTCCTTTTTGGGTGTTTTTGGCTTTTTGGGCAAGCCAATAGGAAAATTACAAATTCCCCATGTTTAAAAAAGGATGGTCACGCACTCCATGTATTTGGAATCCCCATGATGAATCCCGGTTCACAGGCAAATTCCTTGGTTGACTTGTTTAGAAAGGACCCCATGTCGATTTAATCATGGTGTAGTTAAGATGGCACTAGCGGGGAAAGCCAGGGTTGATATGCAATATTATAATTTCAGGCATGGCAAGATGTATACGCCCACGCATGCTACTTGGGACCACAAGTGGGGCTTCAAACGGTTTTATAAAATTATGGTTACATACCCCCACTAGTTGAGACATAGCCCCCATAACCCATGTATAAATATATATATATATGTATATGTCCATCTATAACCGTAACTTGTCCCAATACATCCAGCAGCAAGCCTGCTCAGGAAAGGAGCTGAAGAAGATGTTCCTGGAGCATGGTTCGTTTGAAAGTCTTGAGATTCGCATCAAGAAGAAGCACATCGAGAGCCAGTCTCGTGCGAAGTCTGGTGGGTGGTATACAAAGGGGCAGCTAGAGGGGCAACACCAGTGGACTAAGACCCAGCCTCAGTTTTGTAAAATGTTGTGGAAGCTCCCATATAGGCTGATGCATTTTTACCAAATCCCTATACTTGGGACTAAGGAAAATGGTGGAACGTGCCTTTCAATGGGCAGAGCAAAATAAGAAGACCCGGGTGAATGCTGTTCATGGGGAGCCTGAAGCGTTCCTATTGATTTCGGACACAGTTGCCTTCACCAGTACGGACATAGAAGAAAATGAGCAATCTGGCGCCATCGAATGTGAGGATCTGGATTTTAATTTTCTTGGCTGGTACCCTCCTATTGCCATTCATTTTTTAAGACCCAGGGATATTATTTTTCGGGGTACATGAGCTTGGGATCCTTCCCGAAACTCTTGGGATCCTTCCCGAGACTCGTTTACAAAAAGATTGGATTCCACAATGGGTTTGCCCAAATTACATCTCGCAGGATCCACAGGGCACCCTCTTGGACACCAACATGACCAACATCAACGCTGGTGACGATGCCTTGTTGAGCAGTGCCCCCGGTGCATCTTCGTCCTCCGGGAATGGGGTTCCGGGCCCATCCAATGCGGGCACGATGGCCACAGCTGGGGTGATGAGTTTCAAGAATTTTGGTTTGTTCAATGGTCTCATTTTGGCTTATGTCGTTGGTAATGGTCTTTCAAATTTTAATATAGACTGATGACTGGTTCTCATTCATTATCCATCCAATGGGTGCACGGTTGCTGATGTAAATATATCGAAATATATCGATATCTATAGCGCAATGGTCTTTAAATCGGTCATGACAACCTAGTGGAATAGAAGCCTGGGTGTCGGGGGATCTAGCTAGCCCAGGATGACGTTTCCTACGCTGGTGGCCAACGCGTCGCCTTTGATGATTCTCCCACAATTCGTGGAAGTTCTGGGCAAGAAGATTGATAAGATTAACACTGAGCTGGACAGAATGGGTTTATACACAAAATAATGGAAATTGTCCATTCAGCCTAGTGGTTGTAAGATGGTTCACCCGCTGGCAGGACCGTCTGCGGCAAGTGCAAACCAAACCTGCACAGGGGTTCCTGGTTGCAACAAACAACCGTTGAAACACATGCTAGTTCTTTTATTGGCTTGCATCGTTCTAGTAGAAAATCAGAAAATCGATTGATATTATGCCGCTTGTCGCCCAAGGTTGGTGAAAGCTATGACTGAGCAGTTGGAGAAGATGCAGAACCAATACGATGCTTTGGCAAACCAAATGTCTGAAGCAACAGTTCACCCAGAAGCCATGGACCAGCCTTTTGTCTACATATACGGGTGGTTGATGTGCACTTTTATCCATTATGAAAACTCATTCGCGATATCTGATGCATTTGTAATTTTGCATCATGTTCTATCCACTGGTTCTCTTTCCCAGGTCATTTCGCAATGCGGTCCAGCAGAACTTTGTGAATTGCACGAAGCTGGATGTTGGCATGAACAGCTTGGTCCAGCGTTCAAAGATTCTTGATTTAAAATGTAGCACAATTGGGTAAACCCATGATCGTGTCATTAAACCAAAAAAAACAACTATAGGTATCAAGTGTATCAAGACTCTTGGATCTTGATGACCCTTACCCCCTGCCATCCAAGGGGTATGCGGCCGTCCTCAGCTTCGTCATCTGCGCCGCCTCGACCTAAAGCAGCTGTGAAGGCTAAGGCGAAAGCCAAGGCCAAGCTTAAGAGTTCGTCTTGCAGACCCAAAAGGGAGGCCGATGCCTAGGCATCTACATATATGTGACTTTTGATGGAGTGCAGTTGTGTGCCAATCTTCACACATGCACCTTTGACCTGTGGGACTCGCGTGATCAATCATGATCTCTAGCGTGAACGCTTTGCCTTTTTAGCTTGTTCAATTGTTTTCGCATACAGCCTGAAACAACTGTTTGGTGGAAGAGAGGCATCGCATTCGTCCATTTGAAAATTCCAGTGCAGCTTTCGCTATTGCCACACGGCAACACCTACCCTCGGACCATTGGGGACCAGCTTAGTGATGTTCGATGCAAAATGCAAGGGGCAAACAAAAGAGAGTAATTTGCCTGCTTCAATTTTGTTACACCCTCGGTTGTTACACCACTAAACCCCAGCTAGCGGACGTGTTGCCAGGTCATCGCGAAACTGAGCTTGACCGTGGATTCTTGGTTGCATTAGCTTACCCCACTGCTATAATATATACTGCTATCCCTTGTTTCATTTCTAACAAGAGAAGCCTGTCTAAATATAAAAGGCCTCAGCTTTGCCTGCATGTAGTTCATGCCCATTCTTAGTTTCAGGGATGCCCATTCTTAGTTTGGGGGATTGAATGCAAACCCTCAGGATTTTTTTCTGGTGAAGATTCACCTGCTGAAGACCTATGCACGGATTTTGTGGACAGCTTTGCCACTGGTGCACCTTGGCCAAACAATTTATAGCCATGGGATGTTACTTGTAACTCTGCCTGGGTCATAGTCCTTGTTGCCATGAGGCCAGCGCCAAAGATGTCATGGTCACAGTTGAGAAAACCCAAAAGGTTCTAGAGAAGCACGGACCCTCTATTGCATATAGTCAGTCAAACTTGTTCCAATTAACCATGTCTGGATATCACAGAATAGTCTTCACTAGCCTAGGAGTCTTTGACCCAAAGATTGAAGAGCTAGCTTCCCGTGCCCGTCGTGATGTAAAACGAGGGAATGTGAGTCGCAATTTGCATTTCTACATCCACAAGAAGAACATGACCCTTCCAGTTGCTACCAGCTCCGTGGTGATCCCCATCAAGGCTAGGGTTTCCAGGCGATTCGCAGTTGCCCGCAAGCCTTGGCCAGTGTTCCATTTATCCAGTTGGATAAAAACTGCCATGGAAACGAAGCCCTTTGAAGGTTTCTTTTTACTGGCCGGTATGAAATTGGACAAGCTGGCCCAAGCTGAGGGTGCCTTAGAGCTATTCTGGTCACGATACAAAGCTGTGGACCCCAATACCCCTGACTATCCACGGAGGACTTTACCCTTTTACATTCACGGCGATGAAGGTCGCTCCCAAGTGAAAAGGCCAGTTCTTATCATTAGCTTTCAGGGGCTGATGAGTTGGGCTGGAAGTGACAAGGTGAATTCTTACAAGACACTTTTAGCAAACAATTCCAACAAACTTTGCATTTTGTTTTCTACCATTTTGGGTTGCCAACTGCATAGGATGGTCTGCCTTGGGTAAGCTCCATGGATCTAAGGAACACGCTGACAACCAGAATGCTTTACACCCTCCTACCATCAGAGAACTACGCCCCGAACGGGGCGAGCACCCAAGCTTTGATGGCAGAGTTGGTCAAAGATTGCAACAAGCTTTACACTGAAGGTATCGATGTTGCCTATTTGCATTAGCATTTATAATGCGTTTATATATATATAATTATATATACTAGTGCATTGTCCCCATCACCAAAAACCGTTCAATCAATGATTCCCCCTGAGGTTTCCTGGAATGGTCAAAGGTTGAAGTTCTATGCCCGTTTCTGCGGGGTAAAGGGCGACTGGCCTTGGCTGCGAACTTGTTATAAATTATCAACTGGCTTTACCAGCAAAAGGATCTGCCATGAATGTCCTTCGAATGACCCTCAGCTTTTACTGGGCCTAGTGGAAAATATGCATGTTTTCTTTTCTTAAAATGGGATGTCAACCCACAAAGGATAAATTTACTTCCCATATCAGTTTGTAAACCCGAGGATTGGACTGACTTGTCACGGTCAGGGTCTACAAGGAGTTGGCCACGAAATGGCGTGGCACCATCTCCCTTCAAACCGGGCAGGCGTGCTGCCATTAGGAACATGCTTCCTAGTGGTGGACATCGAACCATCCGTATAGACATAGCCCACACGTACGCCATAGCCGGCTGGGGCAAGGACCAGCTGGCGTCGCTGCTGGTTCTCTGTGCGGTTCGTGCCAACCTTTGGGGCCGGGCCGGGTACGAGGAGCAGCTCAGGAGAGCCTTTGAATCTTTTCAGGAGTGGTGCCAGGTGCATTCCAAAACCTCTACAGTTCTGGATTTCAGCAAGAAGGAGTTGAAGATTTCTTCGCTACCTGGTTTAATCTTATCCCACAATATATCGAATACACCTTGTAAAACTGCAGAGTGAATAGGGATCCAGTACGAGGTTCTAGTTATATTTCATGGGTTCTAGGGTGGTGATATTAGGGGGAATGAATTTAGACATGTAACTATATCGGGGATGGACCTGACTGTGGTCGGTTTGATTTTTATATGTTCTTCCAAAAAAGTAGAACCCTAGTTATCACTTCTTGCCTTTGCTGAGGCTTCAATCTTTTCCTCGAGGCTTGGGGAAAGGTTCTGATGCTGCGCTTGTTGGAGGATGGCTGGAAAGTGTTTTGACCCCGGTGGATCCTCAAACAGTCCCGGCTGCTTGCTGGCGATGTGATTTGTGGGCTTTTGCTAATGCAAAAAAAGGGTTGGGACATGTGCGTTGACTAAGATCATATTACCAAAGTAGGCCGGCAAACATACCGTAATTAAACATTTGATATGATTCTGCTCGTTTCTGAAGTCTGCTCGTTTCCCATGTAGTGTAAACCCAGTGCACAACGCACGCGCTCTGAGGAAGAATGCCGCGACATGATCATTGTAGCGAAGTGGGGCATTGCTGCGACAGGGCGCTTCTTCAGAATCATCTATTCAGGTGAGTTGTGGCTCACCCGGGCCCAAGCACAAGCTGCAGTCTGTTCAGGGTTCAATATGATTGAGTCTTGCATGCAAGCATGGTGTAAAAAATGTGCTATAAGTTTGTTTCATTTTGTTTCTACACTTTTACAATGGGAAGCTTTCCGCTTGATCATTGACATTTGCCTAGGAGTCCTATGGGGCCCTGGCGCGGCTTGCTCGATTGCAGAAGTGGCGACTTTTTTACATGAGACCAAAGGTTCATATGAACCAGCACGTGCTGTTTCTTGGTAGCGGGCTGTGCTTTCTTGGCTGTGTCATGCCGCTAGCTACTACGGCCAACCCCAAGGCTAGAGATGGAGCACCAGTTGGCGGAGGGTGCCGAGTTCATACTCAATCCGGCCAGTTTGGGGCTTGGGGAACCCATGGTTGATATGGATAAAATGTTTAGCCACATACGTCTTTAGTTTAAAACAAATATGAAGGCTGTAGCTTATATCATGCCCACTGAGGCTGTGCAACATGGAGTGACGAAGACTATATTGGACGGGTTGCACGTGCAAGTCGGCGGCACGTCCATTGTTTAAATCTGGTTTACACCACCATGACCAAAATTTTGATTCAATACAGGAAAGAATGGAACCAAGTTTGTTCCCAGGACCGGGACTGAGGGTCCCGGCATCCTGGCAAATCTCACAAGAGCACCGCGACGATGTCAAAGTAAAAGATGTAGTGTGCGTGTGTGTGTGAGCATGTGGGCATGTGGCAAGGGGTTATCAGGGGGATGATGTGGGAAGATCATTGGTTTCCAACCACTTAGAACTAGATCGAGCATTTTTCAGAAACTTCGAGCACTGGAATTTCACTTCGCTATGGAAATTTGGGAAACGAGCAGACTTTGAAACGAGCAGAAAATAATGTATCAAATGAAGTTCTAGGTATATATGTATATATAATATAATATAATATAATATAATATAATATATATATATATATATATTCCTTGGAAACTCGGATCCCATTGCCCAATCCTCGAAACAAGCCATGGCCAAATCCTGATCCACCTTTTGGCGTCTGAAACTTCATTTGGGGTCTGAAAATAGTGTACCCCTAAATCCATTGAGTTTCATCATTTTCCCGATTAAAATAGCCATTTTGGAGGTATACCATTGTACCATACCCCATTTTCAGACACATCCATTTTAGTTGGAGCCGTTGAAGCACCTGTTCTTTCACCGCGCTGAGAGGCACGGCCCTTGCTCGAAGAAACGCTCAACAAGCAGTCGATGCTCCGGGGCGAGAAGTGACTCGGCGGCTACCGGGGTTCACCGGGTGAAACAAACAAAAAACTATTGAAAATGGTCATTTAGGGTTGATTTTCCCATGTAAAATTGTGAGTTTCCATAGTTGTGTAAACGTTTAGCAGAGGGTAGCTATTTTTTACCAGAGGGGAATCTTTCATGAGCTATAAGGATCTGATTGGACAAAGTGGACATATCATTGATATAATGTGATTGATGCAGAGTATGATGTGGGTGTGTCTTAAAATGTTACATTAATACCCTATTTATGGCAGTTTTTTTGATGGTGGAGATTCTGATTTAGGTTCAATCTCTCAGTCTGGGAGTGGTACTGTACCCCACCTAGAGAGGTAGAGTACGTGAAAGTTTAACAAGGGGATATAGGATCAAATATGGGGACTAAATATGGGGAATAGACATGGGATTAGATATGGTGGATTTGATATATGGGAATAGATATATATATATATATATGATATAGGGATTCAAGCATATCGGAGTTTGGTTGGGGTCGTAGCTAGTGCTTGCAGTTGCTTCTGAGGTTCACATAACTTGGCTATTAGTGGCTGCCAGTAGTGTTATTGGTAGCCTCCGGTAATGACTAACATAGCTATGGTTTACATGGCCGCCATGGCCCATTTAGTTCCATGATTTACCAAGGTTCTCTCCACAAATTTGAAGCCAGAAAGTTAGGGATGTCAGAAACTGTGGGATATACACAAAAAAAGGTTATTAAAGAAAAAAAACACACAGGTGCAGGATGATGTGGGGTTGTTAACCGTATTGGAACTCTTTGGGGTTGTTAAAGGGTGTTAGACTGTTAGATAGTAAATACATCTTTGGCTCAAGGATCCCATATCTCTTGGATATTCCACATCGGATCAACGTGGCCTGGCCCTGATCATAGGCTGTATGAGTAAACTATACCCAGTCTGGGCTTATGGTTTTGGGTCTGCCACGTTACCATGCAAATTTAACATAGAAGTTGGAATTTCTCAATGTAATTTGTAGAGTGATTCTTTTGGTGCATCCATCCTTGCCTCGATCTGATCTGACTTGATCCGATCTTATCTCGTTTTGTCCAGTCCAGTTTATATCATTTTGTCATTTGGTTTCCTTCTGTTCTATTCTATCTGATCTGAGCAAACCTAAACTTCTCTCGTCTCCTCCTTTCTTATCAAATCCCAATTTTTCCGAATAATTATATCCAACACCAACTATGTATAATCTTATTATTATAGACTAATCTTATTGTCTATTATATAAAGGTTAGTAGACTAAAATATTGTATATAATAGGATCCCATTCCCATTGCTGAGCAGTCACCACCAACCAGATACCTTTGATGATACTACCATCATTACCATTGCCATGTAGCATTACCATTACTGTCCATTACCATTGCATACAATGACATGATATATTGGTCACACATCGCTGGATCACGAGCATGTATCCAGATACCACATAATATATATATATATATATACACAATACATTTAAATACCATAAGATATGGTGTATATATATATATATATATGAACATATTATTAATGCGCTTTTTATTTTTTCACATGATATTTATACATATGAGTAACCGACAAATTATTGTAATACGAATTTAGTTTTGCTTCGCCTTGGCCTTTCCGAGGTTGCACAAAACCTTCATAACCGATAGGGGACGACCCTATACCGATACCCCCTATGTGATACCTCCGGAATACTGAAATCCTCACAACTGATAGGGGACGACCCTAATTTGCGCATGGTTTTTAATTTAACATATAATTTTGCCCGCTACTCATATATATATATATACATATATATATATATATCATACAGACGCTATGGACTATGAGAAATTATACACATGATAATATGAGATTTATACATTACATCCAGTTACTAGGGTCTTGACTTAAGTCGCATCTTCTTGTTGAAGTCGCATCTTGATTGGCGCCGGTCACACAAAACACAGTTTGACTGAAATCTTGTGATTTGATATGTGTATTAAATCATACATGATTGCCGTTTTACCAGCGCGCCAGCTCGCTTTTCCCATGGTTGACCTAGTTCCATAGTTGACTTTTTTCCTCGTATGTTTTTTTTGCCCCAGATAGCGAAGCTATTGGGGGTATTATATACTTCAAGTCTAGGCAGAGTTGCATGTTTGCGTTTTGCAGCTGGGTTGCTGGTACTGCTGCAGGGTGCCGCTGCAGGGTGCCGCTGCAAGGTGCTGCTGTCAGAGTGCTGTTTGCGCTTTGGAGCCTGGTTGCTGGTGCGCTGCAGGGTGCTGCTGCAGGGTGCCGTTGCTGGTGCTGTTGCAGTGGCAAGCTTCGCCAGGTGCTGTCCAGGGTGCAGGGCTTCTTTTCATTTTCCCTCCTCGTTTTCAGGTCCAAAAGGGCCTTGGTGGGTATGCCTTTACGCCTCGTTTTGGCCTCGTTCTGGTCTGGCTGCGTTTCTTTTTGCTTATGCTACGGTTGCCGTGGTGCTGCGAGCAGCATAAGCAGCACAAGCAGCAAAAGCAGCACAAGCAGCACAAGCAGCGGAAAGAGCAACGCACAAGCAGTAGCACCAGCAGCAGCACCAGCAGCGAACCTGCTCGTGCTGCTCGCGCTGCTCGCGCTGCTTGTGCTGCTTGTGCTGCTTGTGCTGCTGCTGGCGCAGCTTGTGCAGCTTGTGCTGCTTCTGCTGCTGTGGTTTCGGGGGGTGCTGGTGCTGCTTGTTGCTGCTTCCGCTGCTTCTGCTGCTGCTGGCTCTGACCGGCGCCGCTTCGCAACCCTAAGGCAAAAGTGTATTATGACTGCGCGCGCATTGTTTTGTTGATTTTCGCAGGTGATTTCAAAGGAAAGAGTGCATGTTGACTGCATGCGCGCAATGTTTCCTTGATTCCAACCTCTTTCTATGACCCGCAATGAATCATTGCAAAAAACATCAAAAAACAATGCTCGTGATGTGACTTCAGCGGCGTGATGTGAGTTAAGTCGACAACTTGTATGATCCTGTCGTGGATTGGAGGCATCTGGAGACGCTCCAAACAGCGCATAGCTTGGCCCTGCTGCTAGAGGAACAGGGCCTCCTAGAACAGGCACAGGATTTTGGGCATAGTTTTTGGGCAAAACAGTGTGGCCCATTTTGGGGCTCCATGTTATGTGGGATTTGGACGCATGATGACGCATGCCTTTCATGTGGAATGTTTAAAAATAAACACCCAGCATCAGCATGTGTAAATTGTTGCAACATGGTGATTGAACCAACAAGGATGGGGGGCATAAGACCAACATAGAATCCACTGAGAATTTTTGGGTATGTAACGGAAGTTCCCAAACGTTACACCCAAGGAATTTTTGGGTTTCTGGATATGGTTTGTTAACCACCAACAAGCAAACAATAAGGGCAAATCTTATCTATTATTTGGGAATATTTGAGACTTGATTTATTGTAACACAAATGAGTATTTAAATGGTATCCAGTCATATCTACATTCTTATCTTACCATATCTTAGCTGATCATCAGCCGCTAAAATCAGGAAAACTGCACCGGGTGAATCATCACTGGTGATCATGGGGCGGCTTCATCATGGTGAATTGGTCAGATCTTCGAGAGTTGAACTGATTCAACTGGGAAATCAACTGATAAGAACCTGAGCTGAGAAATCTATGGACTTAAGATTAAGCCGTTGCCAAACCAAAGTGTGGACGATCTGGCTTGAGCGAAGAAAACCACCAGGTCGCCAAAGAGCCCCAAGTGTCTGTGATTGCAGACTTTACCCTTACACAATCAAACATGGCTGGCTGGGAAATCACTGAACTTAATGGAGGAAACTGAAATTACGCTGGGAAAATCATCAAACTAAATGTGGCATGATCTTCTAGGAAACCATGTTTGATTACGTCATGTGGGTTTTATACGTTTGTCTTGTAGACTCTCAGCAGCACGACAGGTGTTTGGACTGAGCTGAAATTCTGAGCTGGAAAGCTGGGGGGTATCAACACAGTCACAGCTACTGAACTAGACATCTTCTGCCCAGAACCTTTGAGGAGATTCCCTAGCTGGAGCTCTTTCTCTTTGCCCATTTTGGGGGGACAAACCCCGCAGGGGCTTGGCTCATACCCATAGCAGCTATGGCTTTTCAACCATGAGGTACCCCCATTCCATTCATTGAGGGTATGATTTTCCCAATAAACAGTGGCAATTCTAAGGTATTCCCCACTTTTCAGGTACATCACAAAAACAAAACACATATTTCTGATGATTAAATTCCTAGGTCAATCTTAGATGGGTAGTTTAGTCCTTTAGTCTTTTGGTAGATTATCTACGTTCACCAGCTCAGAATTTGTCATGTTTGAGTAATTATATCTAATTATCTAAAATTGGCCATGTTTGTAGATGGTTATATAATGTTATATATATATAATTTGTTGGTTACCTTTCTTTAGGTCTAAAATACCATTGGTGTCCCAATGACATGGACCGCTGGTGAAACCCCCATTCGGAACCGCGTTCCGCGGTGTTCCGCCGCGCCATGGCGCCGCGGCAGCTCCCGGACGGCTTTGGGGCGTCGCCGCTGTTGGTGATGGCGCCGATGGTGAAACAAAGCGACCGGGCCTTTCGGGCACTGGTGAGGTGAGCGCCGCCAGGGCTGGGTTCATTAAATGATGGGAATTGATGGGGGTTTCATGGGGTTTCCATACATAGGGATACCCCAAAATTCCCAAAATGGATGGTTTATAAGGGAAAATACCATAAATGGATGATTTTTTGGGGTACCACTATTTTAGGACACCACCATATAGCTGCAGGATGGGGTTCACCAACTTAGGACCAACTTATATCACTGTGTTGGTGTATCTTCCATGTCCATCGATGGACATGTTGGTGTATGAGAATATGTTTATCAACACTTAAACCGTTTAATGATGATTTATAAATCGGATGGGAAACATTGAAACTATTTAATGATTTATCAGCACTTAAATTATTTAAGGTGCAAACATGATGATTTCAATGATCGGATGGGAGGTAGACCACATATCTGACTAACTATGGAGGGCTGGTGGGATGGCCCTGTTCCTGTCGTCCACGAAGTGCATGAAGGTATACCAAGTGAAAAGTTAGAGGACAGCTCACAGTTTTCAATTTTTAAGTGGTAAACACATGTAAACATTATCTGGTTGGTGGTTTGGAACCATGGAATTTGATTAGACTTTCCCATCATCTTGGGAATTTCATCATCCCAACTGACATTCACTCACTCCATCATGGTGACCTCATTGGATTCATGGTGACCGGGGGTTTGCATCCCCGTTCATGGTGACTAAGCTGGCCTTATTCTTCAGCTTAGTGAACTATATTGAACTATGTTTATTTAATGAATATTAACCCATTTTTCTATCCTTCCGATCCTATGGATTAATAAATTGAAATAAAATGGATTGAGCTTATTATCCATTGAACATTTATCACATGGTTCACTGAGCTGAATTCATTTATTCGATCAGCCATGTGATATTCGAATTTGAAGATTTGAAGGTCCTATGGATGTACCCTTTGCTACACCGAAATGTTTATGGCAGAGGTGCGGCACTGGGATTTCTATCGAATCGTGAGTGGTTCAGCACCGTGGCTAGTTCACCCATACAGGCCCATACATGTGCAACGATCATCAACTATGTATATCTATCGATCTATCTATTTACCGCTATACATATATACATATATACATATGTAAATATATATATATATACATATGTATATGTATATATATATATGTTTACATATGTATATATGTATATATGTATGTGTATATATATATATATATGTATATATATATACATACATATATACATATATATACATATGTATATATATATGTATGTACACACATATAATGTATATTATACAATTATATATATGTATATATAATTATATATATATAATTATATTGTATGTCATCATCTAGTTGCTAACTGGGTTGCACATCGTCGAATATGGAAACCTGACCACGGATTGGTTGGCTATTTGTATTTTCAGTCTTTTGTGAGAGCCGCAGAAGATGGAACTACTTGAAAATATTGAGCCACAAAGCGCCTGAAGAAACACATAGACAGGAACAGCCAAGATGTGATTGACATACCATCAGACTTGGGAATGATTTGGGCGAAAATTGCGGTCTGTCCCCAAAAGTTACCGGGTTGCGGAACTCGGTACCAGCGGGAGAAACGAACGCAAGTGATCACAAGTGGTGGTACCTTACAATAAAAGACTCCGGAAGAAAAAGCGATCCAGAGGGGTGTGTCTATATAATATGCATTGAGATCTATCTAATTACTGAAAAGGACATGGGTATGGTATACAGCAGTTAATTATATATATATACACATATATAATGTTGTTTTCACACATACAATTTTATATTATATATATATTATATTGTATATTATATATATATATACCATACATATCCGGATAGAGACCCCATGCGATACGAACCGCCCGGCAGCGGTTTTTAAGGGCACCTCATTCATTCGCTGACGCAGGACTTTGCAAGCTCGGCGGAGTATCGGCAGAGAGCGCTGGGAGAGACCTAGCGCAGATTATGATTGGGGTTGTCTGAAAATGTTAAAAAACATAGGTGATGAAACTCTAGTGTTCTAAATGTTATAATAGTTTGAAATTGGTGATACCCTAATTGATGTCTATGTTAATGGGAAAACGTTCCATTGATTGTCGGCGACCCTAGTTTCAGACAAAGCCATATAATGATATTGCTAATCCATGCCAATGATATTATATCCATAATATGATCCTATTACTTGCAATATAATAATAACGAGGATAAATAATAGGATCATAATGATATATAATAGGATCATAATGATATGAATAATGATCTGATATTGTATTATTTTATTTTATTTTTTATATGATTGTTATTGTATTCCGAAGTATTCCCATATTAACAGGGGAACATCCACGAAACAACGACTTACCAGGGTGAATCAGGATCAAGCGCTGGAATGATCCTCCATGGCCAAAATCATGGGGACTCTTTGCAGCAGTATCCAATGTATCCAATCGCAGTATCCAGTATTTTAGGGCAAACGTTGCACTTCTCAATGGATATATTAATGGATATTGATGGATATGTTCATGGATCACTTTGGATCACTTTGGATCGCTTTGGATCACTTTGCACATGCCCGTTGCGTGGCATTAAAAAACAAAAAACGACGTGGAAAACCGGTGAAGGTTTGGCATGGCACCCCAGATTTCACCGTTAGACATTTTCGCGACTTGATCTGGGTTGGACCTACGACATAGATGTACTATACACAAAGTACATCACTGTAGATCACTGTACGCATGTGTCTTATTTTTTGTTGATGTTTTTTCTTTATACAGACATATATATATAATATATATATAATATATATAATATATATATATGTATTCATATGATACATACATGCATACATACAGGAATTGACGTTGATGGTCCAAACCCTCCAAGTTGTAGCTGCCCGATTTTCGCCCAGGATGGTGTGGATGCGGAGGATCATCCGCTGGTGGTGCAGTTTGCAGCCAACGATGCAAAGAGCCTCCGGGTTTGCAGCCGATGGCTGGCTGGGAAATGGTGATACAATGGGGATAAATCTAGTGGACTATAGTTATTTAATGTATGAATATGAATGCTTATCTATGTATGTGTATTTATATATATATAATATATACTTTTATAGGATTGTCATTATAATGGTAATATCACTAGAACGGTGATATAGTGGGGATATCATGGAGATGTCTCATGGACTATACTGTTGTGGAATTGTAACAGGATGTAAAGGAATAGTTGTGAATATCCTGCAATAAGCAAACATGGATAGCTGGAAAAATGCCCTATAAATGAAGTTTTGAATGGGAAACTAATCTGAACATGGGGAACAAAAACAGTAACACAAACACCATATATACATATATATATATATATGCACATTGATAGTAGGCATGGATTCCTGTAGATCTTCTCTGAAATATATAAATTAGTTGAGTAATTTCACTTGGAGCTCCTGGTTTGAAGTCACAAAACATGACATGAAATCAACTTGATGATGTTGGGAAACCTATCTCATATCCATATCATATATGTTGACCCTGAAACATTCGGATTAAATCAAACGCCAAAACTCGATGAAAGCCTCCCAACCCTTGAAATGCTCGGTTCACACCCCGAAGTGGGATGCGCCACAGGCATCATAAGTGGTTTACAACCTGTCTACAACCCATATTCTTAGCATTTCTTAGAGATCCACTTTAACTCAGGTCTAATATGAGCATTACTCACCAAAGAACCATCCATAATTACCATATGCTCCATGGTGCTGGAATATGAATCCCAACATTTGCCCGAACAAAATCACCCAGTTTTGTAGTAAATCTTTTTCGGTAAATATACACCAGCACCATGGAGGATATGGGTTAGTGGGACGCACCAAAAACATTCCAGGCCAGAGCATCGCCAGCCCAGATGCCGACTTTCGATGTTAGCATTTCCCCATGGTTTCAATATCATTGTTTGTCCATGTCTTAAATTTCTTAAATATCTTAAATGACCGGAAAAAAATGGAATGAATCACCGTGGGGAATTGCTAAGTACCATTTAATGGTTTCAATCACCATCATGTTGAATATTGTAATGTAAATGGAAACCATTATGGTGATTGAAACATTACAATATCACCATTTCAAAACCATTTAGTGATATATTTTATCATGGAATGATTTTTTCATTGGAAAAGAATCACCGGTTGAAGCTCCAAGACTTGGCGGCTTCGCTTTCCAGGCTTGCTGCCAGCCGCCTTGAAAGCGCAAGAGATGGGCCTTTCGGACCGACCGCTTGTAAGGTGAAACGGAGACCGTTTCACCGCGATCCATGGCAACCATTTTCTACAACTTGGTACCAGGAATAATGGTAAACATACAAAAAACTATGGAAAATCACCATTTATAGTGGATTTTCCCATGAAAAGTGGCGATTTTTCATAGTTATGTTAGTTTACCAGAGGGTAACTAATCTGTTGCTATAAGAGTACATCATCATTACCAGGAATCCATGTGTATTTATGCTACAAAAATACACTATCATTGTTAAGTCAAGGTCAATAGAAACTTCTGAGACATGTTGAGATATTGATGTAGGAATTCTCATTCTGTGGAGAATTCAAACAGCTGCAGCTACCTTAGGAGTTGGTCGACTGTTCAGCTGGTTGAGTCGGATTTGGTAGATGGCTTTGTTACTCACTGACCCAAGCATTTTGCACCGCAGTTCGCAAAATGTAGCATGTGTACGCAATCCAATTTGAATGACCTGCAATAACAACTTGCGCAGAGGAGAACTGTTTCATATTGTCATCACAAATCCAGCCAAACTTTGGGATGAACTGGGGTCTCAACAAGGCCACAGGTCAAAATCTGCAGTAGCATATCTTTGGGGACAAATATCCCATATCCAAAATATGGCAACATTTCCAGTGATATTTTGAACTAGTTTTGTCTGAACATGGGGTAACCTCAAAAGGATTCGAAATGCCATGGTATCAAGCCAGGCGTTTATCTTTAAATTGCAATACATATGTCCATGAACATTACATAGAGATCCATGTGCATTGAAAGATCATATGATATCATGTTTCAATCAATTGCAGCGTTGCCAGAAACCTGTTTTCTTTTGTTTCTGTTGGGCCCTGTGCTCCACAATGTGGGGCCTTAGCTAGCCCCTGCTAGCTACATAAGTTGGTTTAGTGGACTACAATAACTATAGGGTTTATGGTGGAGATATCTGTAGCATTCTGTAGCATTCTGTGGGGTCAAAAAAACCATCAAGATTTTTGGAGACTGGGGGTGCAGTTGAGGGTTCCTTAAATCTGGTTGGTGGTTTGGAACATGTTTTATTTTTCCGTATATATATACATATATATATATATATTGGGAATAATCATCCCAACTGGCGAACTCATGTTTTTCAGAGGAGTTGAAACCACCAACCAGTTGTTGTTTTTCTTTCATTTGTTTCCATGTTTAAGCACAGCCCCACGAGTTGAGGTGCCGATGGTGTCGACTTGAATTTGGGCTGTCCACAGCGGCGCGCCAGGGAAGGTCGCGCCTTGGTGGCCTTGGTCAAACTGTTTGGGATCCACCCGAGTGGTGGATTGGTGGATTACAATGGGCATATCATGGGATAATATAGGATAATAATAGTGGGTATCCTGGATTCCATTATTTCATAGGATATTACTATATTATATATTATAAATAGGATTATTATGGATTATTATAATGGGGGTATCTTGGAATTATATTAATGGGATACTATTTGGGGTCAATCATAACGGGTATAATAGATTTATAATGGGATGATAGTGGGATTTAAGCCACAAATATGGGGAGTATAACTTAGTATAACCAACCACAATGGGAACACACTGGTTAGTAGAATTCAACAATAAGCTTCGTCGAGCAATCGGATCCACCGTGCTTGGTGAAAAAAACACCCAAACTGATGTCGAGGATATGGAGCCTGGTTGGCGAACGATGAAACTGAATGGCCTGGCATTGCCAAGATGCTGAAAGACTCTTGGTCAACTGTGGTGTGCGAACAAGGCAACTCCCAGGGCAACAAGCTTAGACGAGCTTCTAGGCCGTTAATCCCTTACCCTTAAACATAGACATCCCCAAAGGCTTTGCGCAACAGCTTTGGATCTATATTCATGTTTGGGTCCATTTAGTTCGTGGATGGGATGACCAACCACTAAGGCTATCTACAATCTTGTCCCACTGTTGCTATCGGTGACTTCCCGTGTTTGTTGGCTTCCCTGGCTCCCTGGGGCATGGGATGAATACTGACAGGTTGACATTCATTCCCCTCAAGAAATCTCAAGAACCCCACTACTATGTATGGTAGTTGAGATCGAGATACGGGTAGGGTATCAAATGTATCAAAAAATGACTGAAACTTTTCGTTCCAGCCTTGGAATTTGACCCATGCAGATTTTGTTGACTTTGACATCTTCGCTGGATTTCGCTGGTGATCATCCCCAAGTTGTTGCTGCTTGAAATTTTGAAATCGCCAATTCTTATTTCCAGAAAGACGTGGCACCCCAATTCCTCTTACAATGGTCACAAGATGTCATTTTTCCACATTACAAGGGTCGTACCCTCTGGTAAACTATATAACAGTTTGCTATTGAACATGGTTATTTATAGTGGATTTACCCATAAAAAATGGTGATTTTCCATGGTTCTGTTAGTTTACCAGGCCGGGTAAGTTGTGGTATGCCCTATTTTTGGTCGCCAGTTTCCAGTTGTGCCTCCAGGAGTGCTCGGACTGCTCAGAGCTGCGCATCCCATTGAGCTGCAAGATACGCCTGCAGCGACGTGGTGCACAAAATTACTGTGGTACTGGGCCATTGGGTGAAAAAAACCTGAGAATATCATCTGATTACCCAACCAATCAATGGTTAATGATGGTTAATCACGGATAATAATCATGGATAATAGTCATGGATAATAATCATGGATAATAATGGTTAATGATGTTATTCTGGTTGGTGGTGACTGGAACCATGGAATTTTGAATGACTTTCCCATCATATTGGGAATTTCATCATCCCAACTGACGAACTCATATTTTTCAGAGGGGTAGGTATACCACCAACCAGTCATAGTGGGGCCCTATAGTCTTGTTATGTTTGTTAGTTTTTAAGCCCATCGCTATTTCAATATGCAAAATGGATCAAAATTGCTATTCGCTTCAGACAAACCCATATGAATATCCGAGCTTATTGTCCATATTCACTCCAGATCATCCATACCCAAAATTGGATGATTGGCAGAGCCACTTCAGAGCCGGTAAGAAGCTACTTAGCGGTGCATCCTGCCCAGAAAATGCTGCATGTTCGCAAATATATTTGGACATATCCCCAGTACATATACATACGGCTTGTATAAGGGTGATAGACCACGCTCAAATGCGCATCCAAGAAGTTGCCCCCGTAGAAAAGCAGCAGAACATGCAGAACATGCGATTGGAGACAGAGAGGGTTTCCCTCTGTGGGTGAAATTGCGATGCAAACAGATATCCTTTGCTTAAAATCAAGATTTTCCCAAGAACACCAATCCATTACAATTCTACCCTGTTGGTGAACAAAAGTTACGTGAAATCTCCATGTTGTGTTGGCAGAAAACATCCCATGGCGTATCCCCATGATATTCCCATGAAATGGTGAAATTTTGCAATTTTGGTTGGTGAACTCCAGCCGACTTTTGTTGCTTAACTACACCTATATTTTCATGGTATGTTCATCTGGTTGGTGGTTTGGAACATGTTTTATTTTTCCATATATATATATACATATATATATATATACATATATATATACATATATATATATACATATATTGATATACATATATATATACATATATATATATTGGGAATCATCATCCCAACTGACGCATATTTTTCAGAGGGGTAGGGCTCAACCACCAAGCAGTCATGCTTGGTTTCGCATCAGCGTTGAAGTGCCTCAAGTTTCGACCGGTCGAGGCACACACTAACAGCCACCATGAAATTTGCTCAGCTGTTGGAAGCCTCGGGATGTGCACTGCTGACCATCCATGGCAGGAGATAATATGTTTGAGCTGGGTAGAGATTGGCCTCTGGTAAGATGTGGTGATTTGTACCATATTGTTTGTCATGTGGTGATTTGTACCATACTGGATTACCATATATGTATATAATTATTGTATATGTATATGATATACGGATATGGAAAGTAACTGATATGGATGAATAATGGACTGTGGACAATACGATATGGTAATAATATATAAGGTAAAAACTGGATAATATATATATATAATGATATATACTATATAGTATATATCATTACCATATTATATATATATAGTGAGGTTTCCTGAGTCGTAGGGGTACCCCCAAATCGTCCAAATCATAAGATCATGACTTAGTATTGAAAGCTATGGTGACTTGGTGGGGATTCCTCATTTTAAGAAACCACCATTATATGGAATAATATGGTACTATATACATCATATAGATGAAAAACAATAATATAGATGGGGATATGATGTAGATACGATATAAATCAAACAAAAAAACAAGTTCTTTGCTCCCATCTGCAGGAAGCTTCTCTGTAGCAAGAGCAAGCATCGTGAGGGTCCAGCAGATTTGGGGGCCATAGTCCCTTGGCGTGTCGCAGCAAAGGGCCCTGTTGAGTTGTCGCGTCCGCAAGGAGAGTTGCAACCCTGGTGCTACAAAAACAGGCCTACGTTGCAAGAGAAAATGAACAACTATCACTGGTTGGTGGTGACTGGAACCATGGAATTTTATGACTTTCCCATCATATTGGGAATAAACAGATCCAAACTGACTAATCATATTTTCCATATATTGGGTTTAGATCCACCAACCAGATCATGTCCAATGATGTCCAAAATGTCCACCTCCCAGAGGTTTGTCTTTGGATTTTCGGTCAAATTTCGAGTTGGGGATTTCCTCCAGCTGAAGTTCGACGGTTAAACCTACTTGGATGTGCATTCCACTTGGTGATCGCGAATATAAAACCACAAAAGAACCACATCAACTGGGTTTGTTTCCTATGTATTTAATTCCCCATCAACTTTGGCTTCCCATCAACTGAGTTTATTTTATGGATTTTCATAACCCCAATATTTTGATACAATGTGGGCCCCCAAACGATAGCTAAGTTGGTATTTATACTTGTAGGATCTTGTAGTTCCAATATGGTTAATGATATTTGTAACGATAGTATTCATGGTGTTTATAAACCAACAAACTTATAACTGGGGGTCGCCACTATGGAAGTATTTTCCATGTGCATCTCAATATGTTAGTGTATGAGAATATGTTTAACAACTCAAATTCTTTATGACTATATATATATATATACTATATATACATAGTTTTAGTTCATGGTGTTTCGAAACCAACCTTATAACTGTTTTCTTTTTATCATGATTTATCTGGCCTTTACAACTTATAGTTACCCTCTGGTAAACTAACATAGCGAACTGGAAAATCACAATCTTTAGGGAAATCATTGATTTCTATGGGCCATTTTCAATAGCAAACTCTTAAATTACCAGATGGTATCTTAATTAAATCACCATTAAATCCCATAAAATCCCACTAAATCACCATTAAAACTGTAGTTCATGGCTTTCATATCAGCTCCAACCCGCCAGGCAGCCGTCCGTGGCGTTTTGCGCATTCCGGTGCTGAGCAACGGCAACGTGCGCTGTCCGGCGGATGTGGCGCGGAATCTGCGGAGCACTGGCTGTGAGGCCTGGGCGTATCGATCCTAGGGATGGAGGAGATGGATTTCTATGGTAAATTCATCTCCTATTGGTAAAATGCCATAATTTCATATCAATATGTTTTTGCTATAATTTCCATCTCCTATTTTTAAAAAAAATCTATGGATTTCTATGGAAACTCACAGCTTTTTTCATAGGAAAAATCAGCAGACATATTCGTAAATCATCAGAATTCATCAGAATTCAATATAATTCATCATAATTCATCTAGACTTGTGCCATTCTTCCCGGATGTATTCATACTAAATAAGCAGATGGTATATAGAAAAACCGTGATGTTTCAGTTTCCGAAAATTATATAGAGTACTTTCATTTTCATGGTGGGTTTTCCATATCTTTTGCAGTTTTCAGGAGGGCAATACTTTGGAATATCATACCCAGCTACAAAATTCATGCGGCCAATCTGGCCATGTGCACATCCAGTCGTGTCTTATTTGTTTGTGAAGGATCGAAGGAATTGGGCAATGTACTTATAGATAATATAGTATAATATGATGATATTTCATTATATTATATTATATTATACTATACTATATTATATTATATTATATATGTAATATATATATATATATATTATACATAGTTTTGTGACCTCATTTCTGAGCGCACAGTAGATAGTGAATCTTGGGAACAGCATCAGCCTCAAGTTGAAAGCAGCCATTCATTCTATGCCAAGTGGCTATTGGGGTCCTCCTTAAAATGGCCATAAAATGCAGGATGTTCGAAGTTTCAGACAAGCCGGCCTCATGGCAAGTTGGTTATATACATTTTAGTATATCGCAGTATATTCCCATAGAATCCCATAGGAAAAGGTAAGGGTTACACATCCATGTTGAAATATTTTTAATATATTGTGTTGGTAAAATGATAAACAAAACTATGGTTGATCTTTTTTTGGATGGCACATGTTCATACGTGTCCCAGGGCATCATGGTGGCAGAGCAGTTGCTGAATGACCCTGCCCTCTTCGCGCGTGCCACCGCAATCGGAGCATTTGCTGCCGGGCCTGGCCCTAGTGCAGAGGAGTTGGTGGACGAATACCTGGCACATTGTGGCTGGGCGGCCACAAAAAAGGTCTGGAAAATGGGAAACTGAAGGAACATGATCAACAAATCAACAGATGGGCTTTAGATAGGTAAATTTACTGGAGGGCGCTTGCCTTTTTTGGGTGGCTTTCAAGCCCTCCAAATGGTGATTCGGGGGCTTTTGTGGGATAAATCATTGGATTGCCATGTGTGTTGCCAAGAAATAGAGGTTTCCTAGTATTTGTTTCCCTTAAACCAAGCAAAATACAACATTTACCAGTAAGGATGTTTAAGCACCTGAATTTCATGGTAAGACCAGGTCGAGCGAGGATGGCCCATGAGGGAACACCACCCTGGACATTTTAGGGCATGGCACCGAAGCATCATGGATTCAGGTGATTTTTTGAAGCCCCAACCCAACAAACATCCTCAAAAAACCTCAACAAATCCTCACTTAAACTGGGTCTACTGAGTCTACTGGGTCCATGTTGCTGAGGTGCAACCTTCGGTGCTGAGGATGAGAACGTGTGTTTTTCCACCTGGGGCGCCAGTAATGGGCATGTGATCCGCGAACACGTGCAGAGGACGGCATGGTGAGGGCCGGGTGGGAATCCACTGAAGTGGTGTGAATAGAGAGAGAGAGAGAGATAGATCTTGATAGATATTTTGATATCTACAATGTGGGGCCCCCTAGATAGCTAAGTTGGTTTATAACTCCAATAACTATGTTTTATTGTACTTATAACAATAGTTAATGGGGTTTATAAACCAACTTATAACTGGGGGGGCCCACATTGTAAGATGTAATTATTTTAGAAAATAGAACTCCGATTTTGGGATTTTGGGATCGGTTTACTTTGGGCGAGATTTTCCGGCGTCGAATCCAATCCAGAACGATCATGTGGTGAGTAGGGGAGGATTGCAGCTGAAATTGCCAACCAAATGAGCCAGCTATAGCTGTTTTTCCCGAGAGCGTCTGAGCGCAGGGTTCTTCCAATAGTGGGGGTCTGTAAAACATCTTCTCATCTTCACATCCTCTCATCATCCTCCCATCTTCACATCTTCTCATCTTCACATCTTCTCATCTTCACATCTTCTCATCTTCACATCCTCTCACCTTCACATCCTCTCATCTTCACATCCTCTCATCTTCACATCTTCTCATCTTCACATCTTCACATCTTCTCATCTTCACATCTTCTCATCTTCACATCTTCTCATCCTCCCATCTTCTCCTCATCTTCACATCTTCTCACATCTTCTCACATCTTCTCACATCTTCTCACATCTTCTCACTTCTCACATCTTCTCACATCTTCTCACATCTTCTCACATCCTTCTCACATCTTCTCACATCTTCTCACATCTTCTCACATCTTCTCACATCTTCTCACATCTTCTCACATCTTCTCACATCTTCTCATCTTCTCACATCTTCTCACATCTTCTCACACCTTCTCCTCTTGCCCTCTTGCCCTCTTGCCCTCTCCTTCTTTTCTATTTCTCTCTTGAAGGCGGGAGCAGGGGCAGTGCCAACGAGACGGCACGAAACGCAACCCTTTCGCACGAAATGAGGTTCGATCGTCAAAAACTGAGGTAAAATTGCGATTTCAACTTGTCCCGCGCAACCCTTTCGCACGAAATGAGGTTCGATCGTCAAAAACTGAGGTAAAATTGCGATTTCAACTTGTCCGCGCGCAACCCTTTCGCACGAAATGAGGTTCGATCGTCAAAAACTGAGGTAAAATTGCGATTTCAAGTCGTCCGGCGCAACCCTTTCGCACGAAATGAGGTTCGATCGTCAAAAAACTGAGGTAACATTGCGATTTCAACTTGTCCCGCGCAACCTTTTCGCACGAAATGAGGTTCGATCGCCAAAAACTGAAGTAAAATTGCGATTTCAAGTCGTCCGGCGCAACCCTTTCGCACGAAATGAGGTTCGATCGTCAAAAACTGAGGTAACATTGCGATTTCAACTTGTCCGGCGCAACCCTTTCGCACGAAATGAGGTTCGATCGTCAAAAACTGAAGTAAAATTGCGATTTCAACTTGTCCCGCGCGACCCTTTCGCACGTCCCTTTCGCACGAAATGAGGTTGGATCGCCAAAAACTGAAGTAAAATTGCGATGTGTGTAAAAGCGTCTGTGTGTAAAAGCGTCTGTGTGTAATAGCGTCTGTGTGTAAAAGCTTCTGTGTGTAAAAGCGTCTCTGTGTAAAAGTGTTTGTGTGTAAAACTGTTTGTGTGTCAACTTTTGTGTGTAAAAGCGTCTGTGTGTAATAGCGTCTGTGTGTAAAAGCTTCTGTGTGTAAAAGTGTTTGTGTGTAAAAGTGTTTGTGTGTAAAAGTCTCTGTGTGTAAAACCCTCTGTGTGTAAAAGCGTCTGTGTGTAAAAGCGTCTGTGTATGTCTGTGCGTAAAAGTCTCTGTGTGCAAAAGTGTATGTGTGTAAAAGCGTCTGTGTGTAAAAGCTTCTGGGTGTAAAAGTCTCTGTGTGTAAAAGTGTTTGCGTGTAAAAGTGTTTGTGTGTAAAAGCGTCTGTGTGTAATAGCGTCTGTGTGTAAAAGCTTCTGTGTGTAAAAGCGTCTGTGTGTAAAAGTGTTTGTGTGTAAAACTGTTTGTGTGTCAACTATTGTGTGTAAAAGCGTCTGTGTGTAATAGCGTCTGTGTGTAAAAGCTTCTGCGTGTAAAAGTGTTTGTGTGGAAAAGCTCTGTGTGTAAAAGCCTCTGTGTGTAAAAGCGTCTGTGTGTAAAAGTCTGTGTGTAAAAGCTTCTGTGTGTAATAGCGTCTGTGTGTAAAAGCTCTGTGTGTAAAAGTGTTTGTGTGTAAAAGCGTCTGTGTGTAAAACCCTCTGTGTGTAAAAGCGTCTGTATGTAAAAGTCTCTGTGTGGAAAAGCGTCTGTGTGTAAAAGCCTCTGTGTGTAAAAGCGTCTGTGTGTAAAAACGTCTGTGTGTAAAAGTCTCTGTGTGTAAAAGCGTCTGTGTGTAAAAGTCTCTGTGTGTAAAAGTGTTTGTGTGTGTGTAAAAGCGTCTGTGTGTAAAAGCGTCTGTGTGCAAAAGCGTCTGTCTGTAAAAAGTTCTGTGCGTGAAAAACTTTTTGAAAGATACGATGCAAAAGATACGATGCCATATAATATTGTCTTGATACTACTCTTCTCGTCTGCCTGTAATACATCTTTAATATATTGTCTTGTAATATAGTGTCGCCATACTAACAGCAGAAGAAGACTCTGCTCCTCTACGCTCTCGGGCCATCCGTCGTCTAGTAATTATAGTCCAACTGAAGTCAGGACTGGTTTCTGGTTACATGGAACATTGCCGTAGTCATTGGGTAATTGGGAAATAGATAACCGACATTAGGTGATGTAAACCACAAGATTGACATGTGGAAGCATTAGAAAACTGCTTGGCCGGTAGCTGGGGTATATCCACATGTATTTAATATCAACACAATACATCTACATATGTATACATGATTATGCATGCATATGTGATCATATATGTACGTCTTCACATGTAATTATATATCAATCAATATATATATATATATGCATACCAGTAATATTATGTGTATATATATATATATCACATCCCAGTGATTGATTACACAATCCAATTTATGCTCAGCATGAACATGTTCGGAGATTGCCTCACCAAGACCTTGCCATATGTGTTGCTGAGTTGTTGGGAACGGGGGAACTACCCCAAACACAATGTTTTTCAGTGACCTTATCAAACCAATCATATGTTAAATAAAAATACATAGTACAATGGTGTAATATTGTCCATCCATATTACATCTATCAATATATATATATAATCCATATTACATATATACTACATATCTGTGTGTGTATATATATATATACATATTTCTGATCATATAGTTCATTCAGCCGCAGCGCAGCCGCTTGCAGCTGTGGACAGGATGAGATCAGAGAGGGGACCTGCATCCTATGCATCTCAAGATCACAAAGCAATGAAGAGGACACAAAACTCAGTGGAAAGAGAACCAACATGGACTTCTTCCTGGTTGTCACGTACCATGTGTATATATATATGTATATATTCATATATATATATACATATACTATGTTATATTTATTATTATTAGTTTTTATTATTATCATTATTGTTTATGTTGATATAATCACATATATATATATACTCCGTTATGTATATATATATATACAGCCCTATATACACGTGATATACTTTGTGGGTACACACATGTACTACATGCTTTTTGGGTGGGTTTCACATCTTCCAGTAAGACCTTGCGATTCGCACTTGGACTGGATCCCTTCAAATGCTGCTAACCCATTAACCCATCGTTTTTTTTGGGTACTTGGTGGTTCATCCAACTTGGTACTGAAGTTAACTGCTGTCACAAACCCAAAGATAATTACAACTAAAATTGCCCACTGGTGAACTAACATAGCTATTGAAAATGGCAATTTTTAATGGGAAAATCCACTATAAATGGCCATTTTCAATAGCTACGTTAAATTACTAGAGGGTACTCCTGAAAAACCCGGTCCAGCTACAGTATGATCCCCTGAGGACTGCCAAAAGAACCGCAGAAGCCGCCGGCTTCGCGGCGCAACGCAGGTGAAGTAAAAAGTGCCCAGATGCAACTGGCAGTCCAAGGCACATGAATCGACAATACAATACATACTCTATGTATATTTAAAGTCTTGAGTCTTAAGTAGTACATATATTGTACATATATATTGTTTATATGTTTTTTAATGAATCTATGAATACATCAATCGTTTCCTTTGATGAGACGTATAGAAACACCATTTTGCAGGAGTTCTCTGACAATTTCTGAGCTTGGTCCGTATTACCCTCTGGTAAACGTTTACAGAAAACTATGGAAAATCACCATTTTCAATGGGAAAATCCACTATAAATGGGCCATTTTCAATAGCTATGTTAAATTACCAGAGGGTAATTCTACGAGATTCTACTCTCCACTGAATCCACTGCCCCATCCGGCGTGCGACCGGTTTACCATTGATCTGGCCGCCTGCGACGAGAACCCGTTAGGTTTTTGACGGTTTTTCATGGCGCCATGTAAATTCATTGGAATTCCTTAGAGGTTCGAACCATTTAGAACCACTTACATCATGAAATTTATATATATAGAATATAGAACCACTTACAAGTCATCATTGTTGATGGTCAAATCCATTTTTTTGGTTGCTAAAATGCCAAGAACATGTCCATCTCGCTGCCCAGTGGCTCGAAACCCAGAGTGGGCCCATGGCCGTGGCGCCAAAATGGACCCAGGAGGACACGCCCACCGTGAAACGGTGAATGTCCCCTGATCTCGTGACATGGGTTATGGTGGGATCCATCTTTTTGGTGGTGCTGCTGGTGAGTGTTTCAGCTGAAATGGGGAGGTGTTGAGGTGTTTTGAGTTGTTTCAAAACAGGGAAGATTCGTTGGATGCGTTTTGTTGTGAAACAAGTCACCGGCGAAGCCATTTTTGAATATATTTGACTCGTGTCCAAGTATCGAATTTTACTTTCATACCCGAACGGCTCAGTTCATTTTTAAGATATCTAAATGCAGCTTGCGTATGCTCATGTTCCCCTTGCCCTGCTTGAGTTCCCACCCCCCCATCTTTTCAGCATCCGAGGTATCGGAACTACATTCTTGGTAGCTCGCCACTGCAACTTCACTTCATCCAAAGTGACCCCAAAACGTGACAAGACTTCTGTCCCAGCATCAGCATCAGTAACACCAGGAGCACCAGTAGCACCAGTGGCAGATTGCTTTGTGGTTTGTTCCCCACCAGTCTTCAACACTCAACAGCTGGAGCCCCCTGCAAATCCCAGGGCACGGCATCGCCCTGTGCCGTTGCATGGCACTCCGCCTTTGCCAAACCTGGTCCAGCTACCAGCCCGGTGCTGGGTCCGCGTGGTGCCGGCGCGGCAGCAAGCCATGTGGCAACGTCGGGCGCGGTGGGTCTGCAGGCCGCTGCCAACGCCCCAGCTGCCACAGTGGGAGGCTGAGGTGGTGGAACAGCACCCGCAGCAGCGAGCCACACAGGTGCCAGACAGGTTGAAAGCAACGCCTGCTGGGTTCAATGGCAGCAGGCGCCACATGGCTGTCGGGAGATTGATGGATGGGGCGAGAGAGAGCATCATAGAGAGGAAGGAGGCGCCAAGGGAAGGAGGACCCCACCTGAACCTTTGGCAGCCACTCATGACAGACTCCAACCAGCCTTTCATTCCATTGCCCCCGAAATCACCTCATGTGTGCACCGCGCACACCAAGCCGCCGCCAGACGTGTCGTTGCCACCACTTCCACCAACAACTTCTTTGGAGGGACAAAAACCACAGATGCCAAGACAAACTGAAGACCTTCCAGAGCGGAAAACTCCCATGATTCTCCTATTGGTAGGTTTCGCTCCTACAAGCCCCACATCCACAGGTGCCGGACCTGGAAGGTCCATGTCCAGGTCACGACCAGGAAGCGCGCCATTACGCTGGGTATCCCGGACGAGCACACCTGGCACACCTGGCACACCTGGACCAGGGCATTACAGCCCCAAGGGCACAAGGCGCGGCAGCAACCTGGGTTTCGAAGCCCGATTTTCAAGATTCAGATGACATCAGATGACATCAGATGACATGAGCTTCTGTCAGAAACCTCCAAAGATTCTGAGGTTCTGTCAATTTCTGTCAGATTTGTCGGGTTTGCCCTCGCTGAAGCTCAAGCTGTGCCGTTGCACAGAGCCAAAGAGAGCCAACGACGGGCGAAGCGAAACGAAACTGGAGATTCGGAATGGGATGACCAAAAAGGATCAAGGATTCGGAATGATTCATCTGGTTGGTGGTTTGGAACATTTGTTATTTTTCCATATATTGGGAATAATCATCCCAACTGACGAACTCATATTTTTCAGAGGGTAGGTATACCGCCAACCAGTTCATGTAACAAATGTAGAATTGTAGAGCCATCAAGTTTCAGACTGTAATCACGGTATCCGGAACGTTCTCTTTTCCTGTAGGAAGCAAGAAGCGTCGCTTTCATCTGGAGATAGTTGCCCTTCAGCTAGGACAATGGAAAACCCCCCCATAACCACTGGAAAGTTTTGCAATGTCCTATGGAAGATCACATTTTTGATGGGTAAATGGGGGTACCCCGAAATCATCCATTTTTATAGGATATTCCATTATAAACAATCCATTTTGGGGTACCCCCATGGAACATTGTCCATGGCTATTGCTATTGTTTAAAAATCCTGGAGAGGAATCATTTTAAAGCCAAAGTGGCAAGCACATTCCCACCGAGATTCCTATGTTAATTGGGATGAGTAGTGGAAAAAATCAGTACCATCCTGGAACCATTTTTCTACCTGTTTGTGGCTTACTCTGAACCTTCAACCCATTGTTGGTTCACAGGCTTGAGAGCACAAAGGTCCTTTGCCCCCCAGTTGATAAAGATGGCTACTCCCTATGTCTACCCATTCTGGGTCCCTGTTCCCCCAGTCTTCACCATCAACCAACCATCATTTAGAACTCATTTGCTTTAATAAATCTATGTAAATCTTCATGTTGCAGGTGAAATCTTTGGCTGTTTCAATATTTCAATTCAATAACTGAACAATTCCTGCCCAAATCCCTATAGTTTTTTGGGCTGTTTGATGGCCTGGGGAAGTGGGACTCAACTTTCCAACCGAGTGTCCGGCGCCAGGCCGAGCCCTTGTATGTCAGAGCCTACGAGGGTCAGAAGGCGCCATGATGCCAGTTCTCCCCATGGCTACGTCAAAGTGGTTGGTTTAAACACATCATGATCTGGTTGTTAGATTTTCTTATGCTTGGATGACAAAATCTCCCCATCTCCATGAATGACAATGTGGTTGGACCATGTTGGATCCATAATCCATGGTACAGTTTTTCTGAACATTGAGAGGTTACCTCCCAAACCCATGTCGTATCATCAGTTTCCGAACATGAACATGTCCAGAAATTGGGATACTATACATGGTATTGCCATTGTCAAAACAATGAAAAACAACAAGTGACTAGTATAATCCATTTATCTCCATATAGTGTTGGTTCGATATATACTCGATATATGCGTGTTTCAGGAAATCAATAGAATGGCCACAGATATCCAATCTTCAAATTATATTCCATGAATGTTGTAGTCATCAACCAGCCAGTTTTAGCTTATCGTAAACCCGTTTTAGCTTATCGTAAGCCCAACATTTTTTTCATCCCCAATGTGAGTACCCTCTGGTAAACTAACATAACTATGGAAAATCACCATTTTTAATGGGTAAATCCACTATAAATTGCCATTTTTTCAACAGCTTTTTGTTAGTTTACCAGAGGGTAGATTATTGGGTACACTTCTATGTGGGTTAGAAAAAAATGACTCCAAGTTGCTACAGGGCTGAAGGCATCCACCGTAGATGATCATTGGTACCTGCACCTGCTTTTGTCTAGGTCCAACTTTTAATTGTAGTTGGGTTATATACTATATCACACATATATTTATATTATATATATACATATATAATATATAGTTATATATACACGTAATATATATATATATTATATATATCCCATTGCAATCCATTTAATATACCCGTAAACATCCCAATGTTTGTCCCTTTAAATCACCGTGAAATTCTTGATTAAATCCAGCATTAGTAAACCGTTACTATTCCCACTCGTCTCCCATCAAAGTCCTGTGGTGCACCCTAGGTATAAGTAGGTCTATAAACCCCACTATTTAGTTACAAGTATCACAAACATTTCACTAAACCATAGTGAAAATTAGAGTTATGTTCACCAACTTAGCTATCATATGCTATCATAAATCAGCTATAGCCTCAGGTTTTTTTTGGTTACATAGCTATTGAACATGGCCCATTTGGTTCGTTGGTTTACCCATTCGAACTGGTGATTTTCCCCATAGTTTTACCAGTAAACATGAAAGGATGTCACCAGATATATTAAACAGAAAATCCTTTCAGATTATAACATCATTAATGGGAAATTTCATATTAAACATTAAAATTGCAGAAATTTCATTAATTTTAAATAACAGATATTTAAAAAAACTCGGCAAATGGGAAGAATTTCCCATATATCTGGGTAAATTATAACGACCTCACTGCGACCTCACTGGAATCATAGTTAATAAGGGAAATCATCCCCAAATGGCCTTAATTCAGGTTAGTGAAATATTATAATTTACCCAGATATATGATGCTCTGGTGAAATCTCTGGTGAAATCGGTGAAATCTTCAGTCCCTCCTTTACTGCCGAGTCTCAACTGGGCTCGACCAGCCCTGTGGTGATGCAGACAGCGGTGAATCTGGCAGGGCTGAAACAGGCGACGAAACACGGGCGACATGGTTGATTAATATGTTGTTCATCCATATATTAAATCCATATAATATCCAGATATAGTCCATATAATATCCATTAATATAGTCCATATAATATCCAGATATAGTCCATATTTTATGGATATATGGTTGATATATGATTTTCATCCATATAATATCCATATATTTCATCCCATGTGGTGATATTCCAACTGGGCGAAGTGCTGCAGTTCTCGATCCAAAGCACCAGGCCCGTGGCCTCCTGGACGAAGCTGAAGCTTTGGACAGAGAGGTGCCGATTTCCCCCATGGTGATTTAATGGTGATTTAATGGGATTTAATGGTGAGTTAATGGGTTTTAATTGTGATTTAATGGGATTTAATGTGATTTAATGGTGAGTTAATGGGTTTTAATTGTGATTTAATTGTGATTTAATGGGATTTAATTGTGATTTAATGGGATCTAATGGTGATTTAATGGGTTTTAATGGTGATTTAATGGTGATTTAATGGTGATTTAATGATGATTTAATGGTGATTTAATGGTGATTTAATGGTGATTTAATTGTGATTTAATGATGATTTAATGGTGATTTAATGGTGATTTAATGGTGATTTAATGATGATTTAATGGTGGTTTAATGGTGATTTAATGGTGATTTAATGGTGATGGGATTGGATTTAATTGTGATTTAATGGGATTTAATGGTAATTTAATGGTAATTTAATGGTGAGTTAATGGGTTTTAATTGTGATTTAATTGTGATTTAATGGGATCTAATGGTGATTTAATGGGTTTTAAAGGGATTTAATGGTGATTTAATGGGATCTAATGGTGATTTAATGGGTTTTAATTGTGATTTAATGGGATTTAATGGGATTTAATTGTGATTTAATGGGATCTAATGGTGATTTAATTGTGATTTAATGGGATCTAATGGTGATTTAATGGGTTTTAATGGTGATTTAATGGTGATTTAATGGTGATTTAATGGTGATTTAATGGTGATTTAATGGGATTTAATTGTGATTTAATGGGATTTAATTGTAATTTAATGGTGATTTAATGGTGATTTAATGGGATTTAATGGTAATTTAATGGTGATTTAATGGTGATTTAATGGTATTTAATGGTAATTTAATGGTGATTTAATGGTGATTTAATGGGATTTAATGGGATTTAATGGTGATTTAATGGGACCTAATGGTGATTTAATGGGTTTTAATGTGATTTAATGGGATTTAATTGTGATTTAATGTGTGTTAATGGGATTTAAGGGTGATTTAATGGAGATACTCTCTGGTAATTTGTTACAGTTTGCTATTTTAAATTGCACATTTAATCAATTTTAATATCACATTTATAGATTTACTAATCACATATATATATATATTCCATGATTTTCCAAACTTAAAGATTGTGTTTTTTTTTTTACGCTCTGTAAACGTTTTCTCTAGATGCTAACATGTGGAGATCAATGGAGATCATGGGATCAGATAAAATGATATGAACATGATGGGATATGATACTAAAATATATTAAATTGATTTTTTGAACATGATGGTTGATTCACAATTAATATCATAACATTTGGGATTTTGATTTTTGTTTTAACCTTAAATTTATGGTAATTTTATGTAATTTTCGTATGAAGTCACAAGTATCGACAGTCTATTGGAGTTTGAGATGGGGAATGATGGGGTCTACAAGTATAAAAGAAAGCATATGGGGATGGGTCAAAACCCTGGTACCTAGTGAACCCCAAAATAGCTGGTAAATGGATGTTCATCCCACTAAAAATGTATCTATAGGTATTGACCCATACCCATATTGGGGGTACAATGGGATGTAAGAGTAGTACTATGATGTGGGCGTGTCCGGAAATGGGTTGTATATGGTTGTATATCCTTTCAACTTATGGCATGTTTTTGAGGAAGCCGGTGATCGAGCATGACATTTGGGGGGATATGATGGCAAACAGTTTTGTTTTGGTACCACATTTTTTTTGGACAGTTTGAAAAAAGAACAAATTTTGGGATTACCACATCAGGATAGAGACTTAAGAATACGATTCTAGGTACCCTGTATATTTTTGTTCCACTACAGGTGAGGTCAACAACCACCATGAGATTCGGGCGAATGTTTAACCATCTATTCTTAGAGGGGCACCGACCTGGTGAGATTGGTTCAATTCTTATAGAATTGATTAACGGTGGTTGATAGTTGGTGAGCTCTGAAATGTCGCTTAAACAGTGGCAAAAATACTGGTTAGAAGAGCAATTGGATTGCTACAGTATATTTATATATACAAATATGTATATATATATATTATTATTATATATTACATGTCGAATTAGGCTATTTCTCGTCTACGTTGTGGTAAAAGTAGCAAGCCCCATGGTCTTTACCGTTTTTTTTTGGGGGGTTCTTCGCTTTCGAAGTATCTGTGGAAGTCATCCCAGGTACTGGTCGTAAAAGTGCAGATTACTATAGACCAAGTTGGGAACCATAGCTGGTAAAAACCACGTTTCCAAATGGAGAAAAAAACCCACGAACTTCCGATACAAAGCCGGGACTTACTAACTAGGCAAAAATCAACATTTTATGAAAACCAGAAACACGATCTGTGGGATGATCTGCTGCCATTGTTGGCAAATCCCAATAAAAACCCCAGCAAAATCCTATTAGAACCCTGAAAAAACCCGACTAAAAGGATCCTAAATATGAGTAAATCAGCATTTTTCACCATTTATCATACTTTTTTAAATCTATTTTTCATCATTTGGCCATTGTTAAATCATGTTAAACATGGTGAAATCACCGCGCTTACATCGCCAGGCGATGCAAGGCTGCCGCGAGTTGCTGGGCACCTGCAATGAACAAACGCTGCAGAGCGGCAACTGCTTAGCCAGGCGCGAGCAGCGAGGAAACAACAAAGTCGTGGTGGATGAAACAGTGATGAAACAGCAGAAAGTCTTGGAACTGGGATTTTAGATTATGGGATTTTCGATTATGGGATGTCATTGGAATTTGGGATTTGAATGTGAGAAAACAATGGGACGTGCATGGCTTTGATTTGGGATTGAAATGGGATCGAAATTTAAACATCAAACATATGGGGAGTGGGTGATAAAGGATTGTTGATTAGTTCGGGGCTGATGTTCACTTGCTCCTTGTAGCAATTGGGATTATCATAAACCAGGAATCTCGCATTGAATCAACCAGTATTGAAAACGGAGGGTTTTGAACGCTGCTTTTGAACAGTGGTGTTATTTTCAAAGCAGAATATGGTTTTAATGGAATTCTATGCAATGTGGGATCTTATCTGGTTTGTGGTTTGGAACATTTATTTCCATATATTGGGAATTTCATCATCCCAACTGACGAACTCATATTTTTCAGAGGATAGAGGGGTTCAAACCACCAACCAGTTATGGTATATGAATTGAACGGAATTCATTACTTGTGGTGGGTCTGAATGGGTCAACTTTGACAATTTCCCGTTCCCAAAAACAATTGCAAAGATGATCCAGTTACCCTCTGGTAAATTAACAAAAAGCTGTTGAAAATTGCCATTTATAATAATATTTATAGTTGATTTACCCATTAAAAATGGTGATTTTCCATAGTTATGTTTGTTTACCAGAGGGTAGTTCACGGATGTTGCCATCAAATAGCTCAAAAATGACACCTGTCATCTTTCCCGCGGCCGGAAAATCAACTATTTTAGAAATGGTGCATGTTCCCAGCGAACTCAAGCTCCATTTAGTTCGGGGATTTCTCAGCCATGTTTGATTACAGCCGGACCCACCCTTGGAGACCACATTTGTTGGTACCCCAACCTTGGACATCAAATAACCTCACTGGCCGAAGTTGATGTGTGGGGCTTATTTTTCCTTACAATCCTGGCAGTTGTAGCTTGTATCAACACTGTAGATGCCTTGAACGACTATGTTTATATTGTTCATGCCCCTTTCAAATCACCGATCGTACAAGGAAGAGAACGGGCTTTCGGGATTCAGGGTAACATTTGCCAAGAGAAATGGGCATGTCACCAATTTCATGGCACCTGGCACGTGGTATGGGAAATTTGGGAATGGGCTTCGCTTCCTAGAAAAGAACGTTGTCTTAGTTTTATGTTGTTTTATGTTACATTCGAGGCAAGTGAGTCTATGTTTGAGGTAAGTGGACCCAAGAGTGGCTGGTATGATCATCAATCATCACCATCATTGTCAACAAAATCAACGAAACTGTGCTGGTTGGTTCAAAAAAATGTTGCACCTGCGGTTGTTTGGGAAATAACATCGATGCACCTGAGGATGTTTGGGAAACAAAATCGATGCACCTGACGATTTTTGAGAAAGAAATCGATGCACCTGGGGATGTTTGGGAAACAAAATCGATGCACCAGGGGTGTTTGGGAAACCGGAGACGATGCCGAGATCAAAAATCAATGCAGCTTCCCTCGTATGTTGCATCGATTTTGTAAACAGCGTCAGGTGCATCGATGTTATTTCCCAAACATCCCCAGGTGGAGACAGAATCGGTCACCCCCATGTTGGAGTCAGTCGCCCTCCACAGCCCCATTGTGGGGCAAGCGGTGGCCCTGCGGCGTGCCTTGTGGGCCATCAAAGTGACATGGTTTCTTTAAGGTTGGTTCAGGTTTGTTTCAAGGTGTATTCAGGTTTGTTTCAGGTCTATTTAGGGTTGGTTTTAGGGTTGGTTCAAGGTTTCTCCAGGTTTCCTCATGGTTCGTTTTAGGGTCTATTTAGGGTTGACTTAGTGTTGGTTTGGGGTTGACTTAGTGTTGGTTTGGGGTTTATTTAGGCTTGGATTAGGGTTTTTTAAGGGTTGGTTTAGGGTAATGATGGGTTTCGTCAGGATTTGTTTAAGGTTGGTTTAGGGTCTATTTAGGGTTGGTTTGGGCTTATATAAATTAGGGTTTATTTAGGCTTGGTTTAGGGTATATCCAGGCTTGGTTTAGGTTCTATTTAGGGTTGGTTTAGGGCTAATGTAGGGGGTCGTCGAGGTTTGGTTTAGGGTCTATTTAGGGTTTACTTAGCGTTGGTTTGGGGTTTATATAGGCCTGGTTTAGGGTTATTTTTAAGCGTTGGTTTAAAGTTAAGTTAGGGTTTCATCATGGTTTGTGCGAGGGTTGGATTAGGTTTATTTCAGCTTGGTTTAGGGTACATATAGTTAGGCTTGGTTTAGGTTTTATTTGAGGTTAGTTTCGGATTAATGGTTAATGCAGGGTTTCGTCAAGGTTTGTTTTAGGGTCTCTTTAGGGTTTACTTAGTGTTGGTTTTGGGTTTTTTGGCTTGGTTTAGGGTTTATTCCGGCTTAGTTTAAGGTGACATTTGGGTTTTGTCAGGGTTTTGCTTGAGGGTTGGTTTAGGGTTTCTGTAGGCTTCTGTAGGGTTTGTTTTAGGGTTGGCCAACAGTTTTTATGATTATGTTTGTTTGTTTGTGTCTAGGAATCTGAACGTGTATGCTTTTAGGGTTTGTGTAGTCTTGGTGTGGGGTTTATGGATGATTGGTTCAGGCTTTCTTTTGGTTTGGTTTAGGGTTGAATTATTGTTTCGTCAGGGTTTGTTTTGGGGTTGCGTTAAGGTTTCTTGGGGGACTCTTGGTTTTTGACGTTCCGTTTTTCCATGTTCCCATGGGTTCCTAGATAATCAGATAGATAGATCGATAGATAGATGGATAGATAGGTAGATAGATCGATAGATAGATAAATAGATAGATAGATCGATAGATAGCTTTCAGGGCTGACCGACTCTTTGTTGTTGATTTTATGTTTTCCTCCTGGTTCCTTGATCTCTTGCCGGCTTCCGAGGGGTGACAGACTCTCGGTTGCTGACTCTCTGTCTCCTCTTCCTGGTTTCCCTGCATCCTGTGCTAATGCTCACCGGTGACTGACTTTGTCCTATGGGGTTCCTGACTCGGACGTTTGGGGCGACTGACTCGGGTGACTGACTCTGTCTTTGCCCTGCTCAGGTGCATCGATGTTATTTCCCAAACAACCGCAGGTGCAACATTTTTTGAGCCAAACAGCACAGTTTCGTTGATTTTGTTAACAATGATGGATATGATGGTGATGATTGATGATCACCAGCCACTCTTTGGTCCACTTACCTCAAACGTAGACTCACGTACCATTTTAGTTTCCCACGTTGTGTGGTTCAATACTGTTGGCATGTACGGTTTTCTCACGTTTTGATTAGGAACGAAGGAACAAGCTGAATTTTGCCAAGACACACGGCGATTTGACAAAGGAAGAGGGTTTAACAATGTTTAACATGTATAACTATATATATATATATACATTTATCTTCTTTCGTCGTGTGTAAACGCATCAATCTTTGACCAGCCCGAAGAAACATTTTCCCAATAGGATCTACAGTTTTTTTTGGCATTTCTCAAATAGCAGGATCTACAGTATATACCTGGACACATACGGATAGTTTTTGCATTATATCAAATTATATCCCAAATCTAAGATGGACCCCGTGTCAAAATGGCCTAAACCAGGCTCTTGCACGAGCAGGGAATGCTGCAGGAGTCAGAGGAGCTCATGCTGGAGGCGCCTGGCAGTTCCAGATCTATACCCGGTAAACGTGGGGAAAACTGGTACCCTGTGGTATACGAACATCACTGCGGAAAATCACCATTAAAACTATGGAAAATCACAATTTTTAATTGGAACATCAACTATTTCTATGGCCATTTTCAATAGCTTTTTGCTAAATTACCAGAGGGTAAATCACCGAACTAAATTACCATGGAAAAACCATTTGCTGGCCGATTTTCCAGGCCACGTTTGATGAGCAGAAGATTTGGGCATGGCGATGGGCTGTGATTTTTTGGTGTTTGTCCGACAGATTATATTTAATAGCAATATAATATAATATAATATATTACATTATTATGTTATATTATATATTAAATTATATTATATTATTTATTATATTATATTATTGTATTTTATTATATTATATTATATTATATTATATTATATTATATTATATTATATATATAATTAAATTATATTATATATTATATATTTTATATTATCTTATATATTATATTATATATTATATTATATTATATATTATATTATATTTTATTATATATTATTTTATATTATATTATATTATATTATATTGTATTATATTATATTGTATTATATGTTAATATTATATTATACTATAATATATAATATATTATACTATAATATATATTATATTATACTATAATATATTATTTTATATTATATTATATTATGTGTACCGTAACTGGCAATTAGAATTGATAAACTGATCATAAACCGATTCTGGCCTCTTGGACAGCTTCAACCGCATAGCAATAGTGAAAAAATGTTAAAAACATCAAGAAACACCTGGCGGTTGTAGATCGCGGAAGCTTTGTCTGCAGGTCTTGGAGGGCCGCATGAGATTGTTGGGTGAAAGCGACCCGGCGACCCTGACGACCCTGAACAACCTGGGTGGCTTGTGGGGAACCCTGAAACCCTGGGGAAGCCTGGTGCTGGTGATGGCGTGTTTGCGAAAACTGAGGGAACATTGTTCTTTTCCATAGGTTTTCCCTATGGAAAATCAACTAACTAGGCATTTCCTAGAGCCAATGTTAAACTGACTGAAATTACCAGAGGGGATGCTTTTTCCAAATTATTTCAACCAATGGTTCACTGGTGCTTCGGGCTGCTGGTTTGCAATTGTTTGGATATCCTAATTCAACCCATATCACCAGTGAACCACTGGTCGAGATACTTTTGGAAAAAAATACATACCCTCTGGAAATTTAACATAGCGATAGAAGATGGTCCATGACCCATGAAAAGTGGGGCTTTTCCGTACCTTTGAGATGCTCCTAAACTGGGCAGTGAACTGTTGATTATCAAGCTCCAAGGTGCAAGTTGGTAGCATGGTGAGCAACCATGGCCAAGCACAATTGCTGGTTGAAACGGAATGTATACTATCTTTATTTCTACTATTTGATTAGATGTTTCTTATCCATTTGAATATATGTATATATATAAATATACACATTTGTATGTTTGTGCCTACAAGTGTGCATTGTGCAGAAGCACCGCTGTTTGCAACCCGAGTCACGGCGTTAGTTTTTGCGTTCAAAGATAGTTTTGACATCCAGGTAGGGTATAGTTCATCAGTTTATGTAATCAACAAAGTGAAGGTGATGTGTGTTTCAGATATTAGTTAAAAAAGTAATAGTCCATGAATGACAGCAAGTAGTAAATTTAAATGTGTATATATATATATATTTATGTATGTATCTATAATATATACATATATATACAGATGTGGGTGCTGAGCATTGGGGTACCTGGTACGTCGTTGGGATGATTTTGGGTTTCCCGGCGGATTTGGATGGATAGATTTGGATGCATTTTGGAGCCTATTTTTAGACGAACCATGACACACCCATATCATACTACTGGTTATATATATATATATATATGTACATCATTATACATATATATATATATATCCTAATTATGTCCTATTGCATCCACCTTACATCCAATAAAATGGTTGATTCAGACCATGTTTGTTGGCTAGACTCGCATTTTACTGGGGAACGCGATGATGGTTTCATCAAATCTGGGAGAACCTATTTCAGACAAGCCCATTTCAGTGTCATGGTGGAAATTTGATGGTTTTCCCACTTTGTGTTGGTTAAATCATATTATGATCCCATATAATGTGGGTAAAACAATAATGAACCACCCATTTGGGAATGGTTTATACATGTTTATACCACCTATTTATGATTAGGGGAATTGTTTATTATTGTTTTACCCACATTGGTCTGGATATCTCGGATATCTCCGCCCAAAAAACAATTACCATCGGGTGTCATCAAACATGGCTTGCTCGATTTTTTTACCCATTTACTTCCATGATTCTCCGATTAAAACCTCCATCTAGTTTGATGATTTTCCAATATTTCCATTGCCACGTATTTGAGTACCAGATGCTCATCAAAAATTAACATCTATTAACATCTATTAACCATCAAAATTCCCATCAACATTCCATCCAAAATCCCATGGAAAATTCCATGATTTTGTGGGTTTCCCATAGTGCCAAATTGCGAGCCCTTCATCCCTTGGTCCTGGCGGTTCGCCAGGTACTTCACCTGGGGCCGTTGGGCAGAGGTGCTAGCAGCTGGGACATCTGGGACCTGCCTGGATTTTTTCAGAAGAGAAATCCATGAACAAACAAAGCAGCATTTTTCATGAGAAATCCATGAGTCATGTGAGTTATGTTAAGTGAAAAATCATGGCTGGAAACTCTGAGTTTGAACTTCTTGTTTCTTGAATCAGTTGCTGTCAGTTGTATCCAATATGGCACCACAGCAAACTTGGTAAAGGAGATCCCATGACTGATTCGCCTCCAGTGTCATTACACATCGGAAGTTACCTAATGTTACCTAATTATAAATGGAGGGTTTTTCATGTGAAAATCACCGGAAAATATAGGAACAATATTTGGAACAATGAAGGTTTCAGAAGGGTGGCTCATCGAAGAACATGGACCATTTTTATCCATTTTTCCAGCCATGGCCATGACGCGGGAGGTGATTCACCTGGTGGTTTCAAACGATATTTATTTTCCATTCAACTTTTCTGAAGCATGATGATCGAGATGATCGACCACCATGAAATAAGATGAAATTTTCCCTGCTGGTTGAAAACTTGCACGTTAAATCTCCATGTTTGTCGCCTAAATCATATATGAATCCCAAGAGTTGCCCCCATCACCCAGTGAAATGTCGATTTTAAAATCACCCAGCACTATGGTGAAATATATTGTTTTTATAGGAAACCATGGTATTTTTCCTATGTTTTTCCGATGTTTTTCTGGGGGTTTGCGATGTTTTGCTGATCCAATTCCTTGGATCAGGCAGAACCGCACTTCTTCGCAGCCCTTGAAGGGCGCCGTGCGGTGCTAGGACGACAGGATCCGGCGACGCAGCTGGACCCAGCTTGAGCCAGGTTTTTTCAGGGGGAATTGGTGGGATATCACGGAAACATCATCAACACATGATCATTATAGGTTGGTAATAATAGTAATGTGGGTAATGACCACTATTAACCATTATTAATTAACCATCATTAGTTTAACCACTATTAACTAAACATCATCAATGATGTTTTTTTTCCAGTAATGTGGGTAATGACCACTATTAGCCAAAATTAACCATCATGACCTATCATTAATAATGGTTAATAGTGGATAATAGGGTAATAGTGGGATAATTAACGTGGGATTATTATTAACTGATTGGTGACTGGAACCATGGAATTTTATGACTTTCCCATCATATTGGGAAGTTCATCATCCCAACTGTCCCAACTGACGAACTCCATGATTTTTCAGAGTGGTTGGTTGAAACCACCAAGACATGATGGTTTCACCTGCTAAATGGTGGTTGGTTGAACACCTGATGCTGGTTTAAACATGTTTTAATGCTAAAATACGCTAAAATGGTCTCACTTAGATGATTCGGGGCCATGTATAAATCTCCGGGGATTTTTGTCGTTGGAATAGAATGGAAAGGCCATGTGTAAAGGATTGAATGGACACAAAACAACAATATGCAAAATGAGTCTTGAGAGTTGTACCCCTGAACTGTTGATGGGGTATGATTCATTGATTGAAATTGTGGGTTATACTAACTGGTAATATACTGGTAATATAACATGGCTATGAAAAATCACCATTTTTGATGGGAAAATCCACTATAGATGGCCATTTTCAATAGCTATGTTAAATTACCAGAGGGTACTAACTGGTATCTTGAGAATCCTAAGAAGTTAGCAGTGGCTGCTAGACCCGTTTTGGTTGATGATGTTGATGATCAGTTCGGGTGTTACACTGTCCGACCTATTGGGAAAACTGCTCAGAGAAGATGATTGTCTTCAGGTATGTTAGGATATGACAATAACTGCATGGAGGATATATCGCCTCGTTAGATAGGGTTCTATACATTATATATATACATACATATACATGCAAACCAGCTTATAACTCGTGGGCCCACTTTATATACCGTAGGCGGCAAATATCCCAACGCTTCCTGGCTTTGATTCACCTGCTGTTTTGAGGGACCATCCCAACAAAAGATCATTTTTATAAAACGCTCCCGCCCGTTTTGGAAAATTTAATATTGATATGATTACTGTATATAGACCTGACCAAACAGAGACACTAGTAGAATGCAGAAACTGCGTTTCTTTTTTGCAGTTTCCACCGGTTTCAGGGATTATGGAAGATTATAAATGCCCATAAATCAACCGGCACATTTGATTTCCGGTGACAACTGGTCATATGTTTAAAACATGTTGAGGAGAAGCTTTTATATGTCCCTGAAACCTTGTTTTCAGTGATGAGTTGGCATGATTTGTTATAACATGTTATAACCCGAGACTTGGGGGTAGCCACATTCTTGGTCCTTTCTTTCTCCGCAGAAGCTCTGCAGAACGTCTTCGATTTTCATCCTTGTGGAAAAGCCATAACTAACCCGCTATGGGATGCCCCATGGCATTTATACCTGACATAGTCACATAAACTAAAGATGAATAAATTAAGAATCGGTTTTGGCGAGTTCACACGGACGCAGGTTCAATTGCGTATATGTTATATACATATACAGTATATATATATATATATATATGGGCTATAGGTGTATATATATATATATACACGTATATACACAGGTACACCAGACCCGCAAAGAAAACATATTAGAATCAGCTTAAAATTGACCACTGCATCTCAGAGATGGATTTTTGCTTCTTTGGGGGTTGCTCTATGCTGCTATATCTTGAATTATAGCTGTATTGATGCAATTACATTCTATCAATATATAAATATACCAAAAAATAGTTGGACGGTAATGGCTAAGCATTAGACACCTATATGGGTATGGATCAATACCTATGAATACCATTTTTAGGGAATGAACATCCATAAATCCCAGCTATTTTGATGTGAACAAAAGGGGTACTATTGGTTCTGACACACTGCCATATGATGATGAAAAAAAACAGCTCGCATTTTCTAAATGAAATACATTTTTATACCTAGCACTTTCTATACCTTCGAACATGGACAGCCTGTTTTGTTTTTCAGCGAGGCTTCAGAGTGCCAACAACCTGGCGGCGCTCTTTCAGGACGGGAAGATGGTCCCAGTCATCGATGGATAAAATCCATGATTTTTAAACCATCCCTGGCAGCGTTTTTGGGGATCCCCCATTGATCGAAACCTCCATATATACACATATGTATATATATATATATATATATGATGTTACATGATAAGAATTTAACATGAACAATGGTGATGAAGATTCAATGAAGATATCATATAAATTATACAGATGCTTGAACATATCTAGTCGGCTCCAAGTTTTCTGCATCCTTTTGGGGAACAACGATATATTGGGCTTCTCGATGGATTGGATACATTGTAGTCGATGACCAGTAAAATCTGCAGGGACCCCCTGTGTCTTTATTTTGACATATACATATATATATATGTTTTATGTGTTTATATGTATATATCATTGTATAATGATATGATATGATTTGATATTGTATGCAATTTTTTACTGCTGTATATTTCATTATATACCACAAATATTATATAATGTTAAGTGTTACAGGACTATTGAGAGATTATGCATGAATATCTTGTTATTTTTCTTGTAAATTGGGATGTCCAAACATCATCACGAAGAGACTTACCAATGGTGGGGAAGGTATATAAGAGGCACCCCCTCTTGATGTTATCGGCGCACTGCTGGGTCCAAGTACGGGTTGAAGCCAAATTCGACACATCCCACTTGGAAGCAAAGCATGTCTGGGGCCGGGGAACAACGCATCAGTTGTCACTGATGACTATGACTATGGCATGTCATGTACTTTACTCATTACAGATATTAAAGAAGGTGTGCCATGGGGTGTCCATCAGTTTCTAAAGTTTTTGGTCCAACAAATATCCAGGAAAGCTCTCCGGATACACATTCGCAATGGATTTTTTTCAAGATGAACTGGCTTTTTATGATCTTTTTCATCCATCAGTAAGCCTCGGTCCAGCCCCGATCAGCTACAAGTTAATTCACGGGGGTTCCAATCGGAGAATCAAAGCCGGGGGCTTCATCAAACAGCAGCTTCAAAACCAAAAAAGGTAGGAAGGGTCAAAACATGTCAAAACCCAGATGTTACTGTATCCTGGTTGGGGGGATTTTGGAACCATGGAATGGATTATGACTTTCCCATCATATTGGGGTCATGTCATCCTCCCAAGTGACGATTCCTCCATCATTTTTCAGAGTTTGCCAAATCATGTGGTTTCATCATCTTTCATCCCCTACGAAAAACCCATGATTTCTGAGGTGTCTTTAAGAACGATTAGGGGTGGGATTCCGGGATTTGTTCTAGTTAGCTATAAGCCATTATATCATATCTCCTTGCGTATATCCAATGAAACAACCATTTGTTTGTCTTTAAACCCACACATGAATATTTGAGGGAAGATATCGATTATTAAGCTAGTATAAACATGTATAAAGCGTTACAATTTCCGCCATAAAGTCGCAGCATTTCATTAAACCGCCATCATGGTTCACTTAAATTAGCTTTCAAAAATACCATGGTTAGTTATGGTTAGTTGATTGTTATTAATGAAATAGGTGATTAATCACCTGCCTGGTTTTTCATGGGGATTCTGATCATCTGATCATCCGATCAATAGTAGGGAAACCTATCAATCATCCAGTTTTTTGTGAGATCGGATAGGGGTATGTTTAATGCCTCAAATTGCAAGATGCTTTTTTTTAAAGATTCCCGACAGCCCCGCGTCAATCAGCTGACCTTTTCGCCGCTGACCTGAAACTGGAAATCCCCAAACTCTGGCTCGGCATCAAAACAGAAGGAACATATGGGAAAAACAGAGGAAACGATGGGAACACCTTCTTTAAATCAATGGAGGTTTATAGTGTGTATACTTGGGGAAAACATCTATGTAAATGGGGAAGTTTCCAGCGAGCAATTTGCCTGATTACCTTCCATTAATTTCACATAGCTTTGGAAAATGGATCATTTTTAGATATATTATATTTATATAATCTTCCCAGCTATGTACCTCCATTGATAAGCACTTTCCATCTTTGATTACCGAAGGGTAAATCATAGTTCCTCCAGATTTTTGAGGCCCCGGCCACAGTCACCTCCGGTGATTGGGTTTCTCCTGAATTCGACATGATCCCTATTTGTAATTTAGCATATATGCGTAGTAACCATTATTTTTGAGTATGCAGTGTTTTTATCCCACCCACAACGGTTTTAAAAGATATCGTATTCTGGTATATATATACAATTATATACACATACATGTTGGATTTACTGTTTTTATTTCTTAAGAGTCTATTTAAAGGTTGGTTGATATACCCTCTGGTAATTTAACATAGCTATGGAAAATCACCATTTTCAATGGGAAAATCCACAATAAATGGTGATTTTCAATAGCTATGTTAGTTTACCAGAGGGTACCTAGTATGTGATATTGATTTGAGATGACCCCTCATAGATAGGCACGCGGGCGACTCGACAAGGCTGGAGCTGGAGGGATGCCCCCTTTACGAAAGTAGGTGCCTCTACTCCTGGCAGAATGGTTAATTAAACCTTACCCATTTGCCAAACATTTTAACTTGGGGGAGGAAAATATATGGACAAAAGCCATGTTCATGAATATTCCATTAATATTCCATTAGTATTTAATATTCCATTAATATTCCATTAACCATAATTAATGCATTAATATTCCATTAGTATAAGCCAGAATGATATATTGGTTTTCCCATCTCATAATGAAACAAAAGCAATGTTTATGTGTTTCCCTTGTTGAGATGTCTACATCTCTCCGGGCAAAAGATGGGTTAACGCCATGACTTAACAAAGACTGGATGAACACCCTGAGGTCATGTGGTAGGTCTCATGGCTACCCGTAACGTCCCGTAACCAAGCACGGTTGGCTGGGAAATTCCCGAACTAAATGTATGTTGTAACGAAATGATCATCTATGTATATATATATACATATATAATACACATAGGGGATTTTCCATTGCCATGTTTGAGTAGTGGAGATTTCTACTGTCAATGCGGGTACTTTACACCATCTATTGATATCCGGTAGCGTCACATCATGACATCTCCGCATGTAACGTCACATGATGTACCGTGACATCAGGTAGTGCCACAGTGGCACATCTCCTGCGTTTATGTGTATTGCATGAATCCCCCGGTAGCATAAACATGAATATGTATGTATACGGTATATATATATATATAATTATTTACATATACAAAATTATAAGGATATATAAACATATATAAACACAAGCCAATATCGTTATGTGTATATATATATATTATATTATTTATATACATGTTTATATGCTTATATAATGTGATAAGATGCAAAAAGTCAACAGATCTTCCAGCTGTCCAGGCCGAACCCTTGTATCGCGAGTCGCTGGCGGGCCGGCGGAACGTCTTGGGAGCCGCCGGGCTGCGATGCGCAAAAAATCATCCGGGCTGCAAGATGGAGATATGTTGGGGATATGAACGGCAATCATATGGCAGTGTGTCAAAACCTTGTACCCCTGTAGTTCACATCAAAATAGCTGGGATTTATGGATGTTCATCCCCCTAAAAATGGTATGTATAGATATTGATCCATAGCCATATGATGAGATTTAGAAAGCTACATTGAAATATAACCATTGACTATGGACAATCCACCATTGATATACCCTCTGGTAATTTAACAGTTTGCTACTGAACATGGTTCATTTATAGTTGATTTACCTATTAAAGATGGTGATTTTCCAGTTCGCAATGTAAACGTTTACCAGAGAGTATATTGAAATATAAGCGGATATATGCCGTGCTCGTTCGGAATTGCTTTCAGAAATTTCCAGGTATGATACCCTCTGGTAAACTAACATAACTATGGAAAATCACCCTTTTTAATGGGAAAACTCACTATAAATGGCCATGTTCAATAGCTATGTTAAATTACCAGAGGGTATATCGAACTAGTTAAGGGGGGCTGAAGCAAGTACTGTAGCTGGAGGGCACCAAAAACTGGAGGATTCAACCAGGCAAACCGTACGGTAATTTTTTCACAAATTCAGATGGGGATGCAATGGGAAAAATGTGATAGCAGATGTAATGATTTATAATGATTTGTATACATAGATAGATAGGTAGATAGATAGATAGATAGGTAGGTAGGTAGATAGGTAGATAGGTAGATAGATAGATAATAGTGATATTTTTGTAATATGATATGGATTTGTTGATGGGCGATACAAGAGAACTCCACCATTCTCAACGGGCCGCAACGGGTGATCAACCGCGGGGTCTTAGTGTGTACAAAAAGTTGATATTCACAGTTCAGGAAACATGGACGATTGACTAGACACATTCTTGAGTTAATGGGTTGTTGAACAAAATGCCAGATTCTTGTTTACTACTGTTTACTTCAACATGCACCCAGAAAAAAAACAAAGCACTCTTCGAAACATTGGACGTACTGGATCCCAAATCCCGTCCAGGAAAACTACAGAGAAACTAAAGAGCTGAATCCTTTCTTTGATGCACAGTAGGCCGCTGGGTTGCATTCCCCACTTTAATCCTTTGGCAATAAAACGTAGCAATGTAACAACTTTTGAGTTCTCCAGGTGAGTTGGATTTAGCTCTTTAGCTCCCATTTTGTTGGATGCCCATTTTAGATTCCCCTTTGGTTGCGTAGGGCATTCCCATGTTGCTTAGCTTGTTTGAGTACTTTGAATCACCAAAATGGTTGACTCATCGTTCCCTTTGTTCCATTCGTTTAGCGATCATAGCAACCTGCAAATCTGATAGAAAACTACAATCCATTTAAAACAGTGGCAAACAACTTTTTGAATATTTTTTGGAGTAGGGTAGGATATCCCATCATACCCCAGCAAAAATTCCATTATGCCATTAAGTATCATAAAATCCCACTAGATCCATATGAAACATATTCAATCATCACCATTTTCCCCAGTTAAATCCCACTAATCACTAATTCCCATAAAATCGCCATATCACCATTGTCCCCAGTGATTTTTGTCCCATGTGGCGACTTTTTTTCACTCACAACTGCTTGGACTGTGACCAGCGATCCGAGGACATGCACCCAGACACCCTGACGAGTTGCAGCAATTTGGCCTCGCTTCTGTACCTTGGTGGATTTCATGGGAGATTTCAGGGTTTTATAAAAGTCGATGTTTTTGTTGATGTTTTTGATGGAGCCATTGAGATCCATTGAAGATATTGCCATTGAGATTAATAGTATTAATAGTTGATGTTTATGGCGCTTCACAATTTGTTGATCTTTGAGACTTGTTAAGCTAGCCTCATGATGCAACTGAGAATCCCCACGAATGACGATGAACCCATTGGAGATGCATCTAGCACAAACGAGGGAACTTTACTGACAAAACGGACTATAAGATGAAATGCAAACATTTGATAAATATGGGTTGGGTCAATCCCGTTTTTTTTCTCGCAAAGTGAGGTTAATGAAGATACCACCATAGATTACGTATGCCATTCATTTGTTTGGGATGTGGAAACCAGTGACCAGGGTGCAAGGGTTTTGACCTATTCCCATACCCAACAAAATGGACACACACTACAATGGGGAGAGACATGTGTGTGATCACCAGCCGCTGACAAGAGATCAAAACTTTAGTTGACCACAGAAAATTGAACTTTCACATCAAGAAAAATAGCAGGGTTTCGGGTTTAGAGATGTTCAAAGCCTAAGAATGAAAATTTAATTTATAGATACTGATATATAGATATATATATAGCCATATCATGCCATATCATTACTTAATAACTAGTGTTTATATAAATATAAGCCTGGTATCGTAAGTCATCATTTCGTGGGCTTGTCCCACATACAACTGGGTTTCAGCAATGGTTAGTAACCAACTCTATACTCCTAGTAGAATGATCCTCCTATATCCTCCTATTGCATCAGCAAGCGAATTGACATCCCAAATTGACCTGAATAATATGGGGATGGATGTTTAAAGCTTACCTATGAAATACCACTGACATGTTGAGGCAATGACCATTCAAAAATCCCAGCGATTTAGTTGTTCAACAAGGCTACAGGGTTTTGATGTTCGCCATATGAACTCAAATGGGACAGCATTCGATCCATTTGACGATCGGATCAGTTGACCGGAAAGTCATGGACTTGGTCGGAATCCCTGACAAGAAAGAGCCCTGTTTTTGCCTACGGCGTCCATCTTCCATAGCCCCAAGCAAAGCAGAGGATTCCCAGTCAACATTCTGTCCCGTAACCTGGGAACCAGTTGGGCTTTTTTGAGCTATGTTTGGGACTAAAAAAGACATAAAAACAGGGTTTTGTTATGAGTCAAGCGATGGGATCCACCATCTCCAACTTTGCTATAAATTCTTTTAGTATAACCCATCAATCCGGTGGCTAAAATGACATTTTTGTCCACATTGGATTCATTGGATTTGATATTTAAGTTGGGTACATCATACAGGATGGTGCCCCCCAGTTATAAGTGGGTTTATAAACCCCATAAACTATAGTTATATCTGCCATAAACCATAGTCATGGGACTTATAAACCAACTTAGCTAACTATGGGGCACCACCTTGTAGGTGTTTATTTGCTTTACCCACATCGATGATGTTCCCAAGTGAAAAATATCCACAACGCGGCCCGTGGCCCGTGGCTCCCATCTCAACGCGTGGCGCCTCAACGCCAAGGCACACCTTGAACCAGCTTGAGGAGGCAGGTCCTGTGCCGAGTCGTGTGACGATACTGATATCATGGGGTGGGGTGACTTATAAGTTTATAGAGTTTCTAAGTCATGAGGATCCCCCAAAAGCCAAGTCACACATGACCCTGGGACCCTGGCCCTTGAAAGCCAGCCATGGTAACTTGGGATACCGCCATTTTAGGAAACCTCCAAGGCCATGATCATTTCTTCGGATCTGAGGGTCAGATGAATTTTACATAAAATCTGGATGAATTATCATGACCTCACGTCCTTTTCCGTCACTGGAATCATGTTTTTTTTAAAAGGGAATCATCCCCAAAATAGCAATTTTGATCAGCTATTTTTAGATGATCAAAATCAAACAAAATCAATCAGATCATGTGTTTTTTTGAGTGACTTTATAGCTATGACACCAGTTAACAATAGGGACTAAAAGGGTTTGACCATTTTGACAAATGGAGATCAAAGCAAGCATAGGGGTCGGATGCAAACAACTACGGCATTGAAGGGTATGGATAGGTCATGGGATATAGTAAGATGTAGTGGATTAATTAATGGGAATCAATGGGAGATAGTGACATATATAAGCGACAATATTGGATATACAATGGATATATATATATATATGGTACCGCCCCAAGACCTACCTTTCAATCAAATTTAGTGGTATTTACAAATTTACATTGTTTTTTCTTAACATTTTGAACTCTAAGACTTAGGGCATCTTTTGGTGATCAAACATGTATCTTTTTGCAAGTTTGTTCCCATCCCACCCTTCCCTAAGTACATCGGATTCAAGATTCAAGATCCAAAAAAAACTTCTTGAATCCGAAGGCCTTCAGCCTTTAATCTTGAACCTTGAATCCAAAGAGGTTGGATTAAAGAAGTTTTTTCTGAGCCTTGAATCTTGAATCTTGAATCCTTATACTTGGAATAATATTAGTCACCAGAACTTGCATTTTCCTGCAATTTCTTGCAAATGATTGGCCTGTTTGCGAAGGACATTCCTCAAATAAACTTGCTTATCCTGTAAAAGAAAATTCTAAAAGCAAAATATTTTTTATGCTTCCAAGCAAATCAATCACCTTTGGCAAAAATAACGAAAAACATATATAACCTTCTGCAATCTTAACAGTATTTGTTTAACAAGAAGAACAAAATAAGCAATAATAAGTAAAAATGCATGAGCTCATCCGATAGCAATACCTCTTTATCTACAGACCAATCAAAAACTTCTCAACAAAATGTATTAGAAAGGGTTGCAGATAGATCGGCAAAGAAAACGTTCAAAAACAAACATTGCTGCAATTTATGCTTAGAAAAAGGCAATAGACTATAAAAACCCTGAAACGCTATCAAAGTTCACATCACAAAATGGTAGAATATTATCATTCAAAAATACAAACAAATCAATCTGAAAAAAACATATGCAAGATAAAAACATAATTTGATTAACGAACGACTAGATCCAGAGAAATAGAGCAAAAAGAACCAATAAAAAAATAGAATATTTCGAAGTAAAAATACATATTCACCCAATGCTAGAAACTTCTATAATACCTCATAGAATCACAAAATTAAGAATTATAACAAACTAAGACAATTTATAATATGATAGTTGTATTAAAAACTGATCTAGATTTTTTGTTTGCACTTATCAATTTATTATCATCAAAATTGTTTGTGTTTAACAAACAATATTTCTAAGTCAAGCACTATTGTATTTAAGGCAATGAAATTACAATATCATTTGCAATATACAGATTTAAAGATGATTTATCACAGCAAAAAATATCAACTCTTCCACCAAAAAATGTAGATGCTGAAGAAAAAGCTAATGGAAATACCGTAGATTCACAAGAACAAATAAGACAAATAACACCAAATGAGAATAATATGCACAGCTTGATGGAATGTTATGAAATTGTAGGAAGATTAATAGGTAATTGCATTATAAAATCAATATGTCTAAGAAATATAGCTGGAGATCAGTCTTACCTATCTATTGTACTTTTTACACCTTGATTTTCTGCAAAATCTTACGTAAATAAAAATGTAAAATCTCACGATGCACTAACTATATCATCTAATCTTGCACAAAGCTCAGCTTTCGTAGAAGCTAAAAGGGCTCAAATTGCTACAGAACATTCAGTTAACATGAATTCCGCCAGTAGTCATTATTAAAAAAAACTACCTTACAAAAGTTGTATTCATCAAAAAGAATAAGAATAGTATGCCATACTATTGTAAAAAACAAATAACAAAATTTCAACCCATCTTTTCCCCAAATCATATTGATGCAAATCCTGAAGGTTACGTAAAAAAATACCAAATGTTGTAGAAAATATTGAAAAAACAGACTTGCAAGAACCAGATCATAGATATAAGATTCGTGTTGATATATTAAACATGTCTGAAAGCATAATAATAAAACTTATATAATGAAATAAATATGTCGAATATAGATGTTACAGCGCTGTGCAGGCTACATATGTGGGCAGGATGTGTCCAGGCGCATGCGCCCAAGATACTTTCCTGATGCAGTGCTGCAATAGGTGATAAGATAAGAAGGAAGACAAGGCATTCAAGGACATACCTGCTACACAAAAGGTAGGTCTTGGGGGGGTTGCATATATATATATATATATGTTTAAAACATTCTATATAACAATATATTGGTGGGATATAATATATATATGTTTATATACATAATATATAAATAATTAATATATATATATATATATAACACATAGATGGTATGTATAAATAACATATATATATATATACAATATATATACATAATATATAAATAATAATAGAATAAAATATAATATAATATAGTATAGTATAGTATATAATATAATACAATATAATATAATATAATACAATATAATATAATATAATAACTTATATATATATGCACATAAGCAAGTATGATTAATGAATCAACATGACATTTGGATTTAGACCTGAAAATAGAGGATTTACAGCCGATTTATGGATATCGATCGCACGGTAGTTTTAGAGAGAACATCTGATCAACTAGTGGATGAAATGGGATTTCTTATTTCCAGCCAAATGCCTCCAAGAACCATTGCTTCCACGAAATTGCCGTGAACTGGGTGCATTCGCCATTTCTGGGCAAATGCAAACAGTATAGAAAGAAAAACATGTTGTTTTTTTGTTTGTAGTCCCTTCCCCTATTATTCAACACCCAACGAAATCCATGGTTTAATGGGGTATTTGCACATATTTGGGACGATGTACTCGTAGGAGATGTTGTTTATGTGTCGGGGGTTGTTTATATATCGGGGGATGGGTGGAAAAAAAATGCAAATCTGTGGGCCCCTTTTGATACCCGCCCTCCAGGAAAAGAACAGTTTGTTATGAATAAAGGTATAAATAGATGGCCGTAGATGGCCCATTTGCCAAGGATTACCTATTAAATTTGTGATTTTATTTAACAACGTATTAAATTACCAGAGGGTATGTAAAGAAAACAACCTCCACATCTGTGAAGAATCACTGCCTTGTAAACAAGACCATGGCGGAAGTATTACGAACAACACAACTTGGGATTTTACCGTTGACAGATTTAAGGGATCAGTGGCCGCATTCCACACCCCGGTTGGTTGATGCTATTGTAGTTCCCTCTAGATTAAGTGAGGATGATAATCATCAAGGATCTAGGACTCCCGTTCTTAAGCCCTCCCGTTCTTAAGCCATTTTTTATGTGGGGAGTGTTTGAAAGGTTTGATGATCCACCTCTGCTCCTGTGGCCTAAGTAGAATGCACATTTTTTTTGAAAACATGTGGGTAGAAACCATGTGAGACCAGTGTTTAGCTGTCCATAGATCATTATTCCCATCTTTGATGGTTCAATCAAGTAGAAAATTACATTAAAAAACATTATAGAACTTATTATAAACCAACAATAGGACATATAAAACCCAACATCTTCGATGATCAAAACCTATCCATTTTCCCCGATCAAATCGTCGAACTTTGCAGATGAAAAACTGATGTTCAGGCGGAGAAACTGATGAACGAAGCGTTGAACGGCCGTCGCTTGCTGTGGGGGACGCCAGGGCGGGTTCTTTATCGATGGGAAAATTGGTGTTATTGGGATATACTCTAGAATATCATGGTGTTTATATATATATATTATATGTTACATATGTATATACAAATATAATATATATATATATAGGACATAGGAGAGAAACAATGGTTCCTTTCTTTTCTTTGGAGGTTGCTGATATAAATTAACGCATCAACATGTTGGTGTCGCAAGCCCACTGGCCGACCAGCCCCCAGAAGTGATCTTCGGAATGTTTTTCAGAACAGTCCAATGTCTTACCTCCTTTTTCTTGTGAAATCGGAGTGTGTTCCAATAATTTTGCCAATACTGAATTTCTACAAGTGGAAATGGGAAAAAAAACATGGAGAAACATTGGAATATATTGGAATTAAAGACACCGACCCTACGAATATTAGATACTCAGGATATCTCAGGATGTTCATCTTCACTTCGAGATCGATTCCCAGGGCGATCTCTCCAGTTTCCGAGGTTGGGGAACATGCACAAAGATACCTTGACCTCCATCAACAACCTTGCAGGGCTTGGAGAGCCCAGCCGGATTCTGTTAATCCCAGAAAAAAATGATCAAACTATGGTCATTTTTTCATTGGGAACATATATTAACATATGGAAACATCATGATTTAACCACTTTTGATCGTTCGGGGTTTGCGATGGGTGACCAATTTTATCGAATCACGGAGTGGCACGTGTCCGGTGTGTCCGGTCCGACCATGGATTCAGGTGATGTAAACCCAGGAAAGCAAAGAGGGCGAGCTGGGCAAATCCGGGCGTAGCAAGGTTTGTAGCTAGGAAAATCATCGAAGAAAAAATCTGGAATTTTCCGGCCGGGGTTGATTACCAGATCAATCCAGATTATATCCTTCGCATGAATCTCCAAAATGCCACAAAAAGACATTCCTGGTTGGTGATAATATCACCATGGACATATGGGCCTCGGAACTCAGCAGCAAGAATGGATCTGTGACAGACAGATAGCTGTTTTTCTATGTTTTTCTCCAAATTCTGGAGATTCATTCCCTTGTGAGAAAGCTTCACATCGCAATCAGTTGAGTTCCAGGATACCCAACGATGTTTCACCGTTGAAGCGAAGGCTCATGCGAACGCGGGGAAAGCATGAGGAAGCAGAAGATCTCTACGAGGAGGCGTGTTTCGGTTAGTCTTTCCCATCAAAGCCATCACCCAATGAGGGATCCACAGTAATAAATTATCCCCAATTACCTCCAGACCTTTTGGTAGCTGTTGTAAGTCATCACAAGATATCCCAAGTAGGTGTCCTTTCCAGCAATGACACGTGGTTTGGATGGTTTATTGTGAATTGCCATTAGAGGGAAAGTGGCTTTCCCAGATTTGCCATGATAAAACATACTCACTGTTTGCAACCCCAATGAAAAGATCCAACACTAGGCTTCAGGGCATGTTTGTCGTGGGGAAGCAATTAATACCCATGGTTGGGAAAAGAGAGCGAAGACACCATGATTAATGAGGAATGTAATCAATTAAAATCTGGTAGAGCAACCGATGTAGAAACCGTTTGGTACTGTGCATGTCCTTCCCTTGGTTATGTCAAGGTTCTCATGGAAGCCAACCCTGGATTCAATAAGACCTTGTTGATTTACAATAAGGGGGCTGTTCCAAGAAAGTAACGTGAAATCCGACCATTGAAAGGGGGTAAAAAAAAGCCCGTAACAAACACTTATTATCCCAATTTCCCTGGTGGAATCCCACTTTTTTGAAGGTGAAACCGGCATTTTTCATGGTGGTACCCACCATTCACCTGAGGGTTGGTTGACTCCCCAGTTTACCGCAACTGAAGATGACGGAAGGCGCTGAGGGGTCGGAAGGATTTGTTGGGCAGTGCCCATATGGACACCTTGATGACGGCCAACAACTATGGCTGGGCAGCCTGCGGGGTGGAAGAGAATCACCCCCTACATCAACCGGTCAGCAGAAAACTAAACTCCAATTACCCTCTGGTAAATAAACATAGACCCTGAAAATCACCAATTTTTAATGGAAACTAGTCTTCCAACCCCTATCTGCCAGGGTCTATGTTAATTTACCAGAGGGTAAAGTTGTGACGCATTTCTTTTCCGTTATTTTTTGGAGGTCAGTATATGGGAGCTATATTTATGGCCAACATTTACAAGAAAAGCCCATGAAGATCCAGCTCTATGACACTTATTTTGATGTGGATTCCCTTACGGGTACTTGCAATGGAGAAGTAGGAGAAATCCCAACAAACATGAGAATATCAGAATAACAGCTTTATTTATGACATGATCGTTGCATCATGAACATTCGCAACTACCAGCAACTATACCAGCTATTTTGATTGGAACCACGGAGCACAGGATTTTGACTGCAACCTTGGTCATCCCCTTCGTGAATCCCCCCATTCGTGAATCGCCGAAATGGATTGAATAGATCCAATACACCAGGAATTCTAAGGAGGGTATCCTGCATCGGATCAATATGGGAATCGGGTCGTTTCCTGCATCACAAGTGAGGCTTGTGCTTGATGAACAGAGGCTGGATTGCTGTGCGACAAAACAGATGGGGTTTTCCATGTTCATGCAGTTATGGCCATGTATCAGTTATAAGTACTTATAACCCCATTCATAGAATGTATAATCCCATTTATAACCAATTATAACTGGTAAATGGCCATAACTGTGCAACACGAACTACCACGATTTAAGCGACAAAACATGCGGAACGACATCAAACATAGGGGAACATCCCTGGTGGTGGTGGTCCCCTTGATGACTTGTGGTCAATATTTGGAGGCGTCCCAAGTCATGTACCCCAACTATCAGAAAAATGTCATCAGAAAGTCATGAAACCTATGGTGATTTGTACTGAAACCTATGGTTTTTTTTGTACTGAAACCTATGTTTTTTTTGGGAATAACCATAGGTTTCACCACCATTTGAAGAAACCATAAATATATCAGTGTACCATTTGGTGTATGAAAAGGTGAAATGAAGTGAAACCCTTACAGCTGGACTTGCGGCCAAATCTGGGGTCCCTTTAAGTAATTAACTATGCAGCATTATTATGTACTGTAGAATATAATATAAATAGTTTATACATAATATGTTATATATATATACTATATATATATATGCATATTGTGTATACATATACATATATATATATATTACTTATTTGTTTATGTATATATGTATTTATTTAGTTAGTTAAATATATATATATATGTATACATACATAATATGTATACCAAACAAAGGCCTTGGCATTTTTCTGCGCCAGGATTATTGGGGCGGGCTGAAGAAATGTTCCAAGACGTCTTGGAACATTGTCGCGAAGCCTTGGGAGTCGGGGCACCTGGTGATTTCCCAATGGGATTTGATGGATATAAATGGGATTTAAACCACCAAAAATGGGGATTTCACATTGACAAAAACCATCATGAATGGATATAAATGGAACTTTACCATCTAAAACTTTTAACAATGAAACACCAGCATAAAACTATAGATTGACCATAGAAATTGCAGGGTTTCCCTTTGACATGATCTACTTTCATGGTGGATGAAGTCTCTAGTTTACTGGATGCTACTTTGAGATACAGATACAGATGTGCTAAGAAAGACTGTTTTTTTTTTTTAGCTGTATATACTTGATGTTACAAACCCAGAGGATCTTTTGAAAGGGAAAAATAGCGACAACGACCCACCGCGTCGAAAAGAGACCACCATGAATTGACCCACGTCCGCAAAAAAGGCCCTCAGCACAAATGTTGGGCGAGCCCTACAAACAAAAACCATTCAAATTTCGAGTTTGTCGATCCATTTTTTTGTTCCAGTCTTCGCACAAATCCCTAGAATCATGGAAAAACACTCAAACTTTGTTCCTACCCGACCCATCAAACATTTAGCACAAATGATTGATTAAAACCTTGATCCTAGCCCACCTAAAGAATCACTAAACATGATTGATCAACAAATCAACCCTTGGTCATACTCCCCAAAAATCTCTATATTATGGATCCTGATAACACCCAACAGTAACCAATGTATGGCTTATGAATGCTTATGATAGATTCCGTTTTCGGATGATCATACGATCTCAAAAATTACCGTTAAAGTCGTAACAATCAGCAACACATGACAAACAATTGTGATGATACACATACATAAATATATATATATATATGGATATATTATTATCATCCCAATATATTGTTAATAATCTCCCAACAATAATATATGTGATAATATATCGTTATTTTCTTAGAATCATGCTAAGAACCTCCAATCGTTATTGCTAACAGGGGATCACACTACCTGGACTTGGGTATAGCGTACCCATGAAATGGAAACCGCATTCCTGGGCGCAATTTACCCGGCCTTGTAAACATACAAAAAGCTATGGAAAATGGCCATTTGTAGTGAGTTTTACCCATTAAATATGGTGATTTACCATAGTTATGTTAGTTTACCAGAGGGTAAAGGGATGAAAATGTTGATCTTATTACCACTGCTCTTGATGATAGGTGCTGTTTAGCCAAAATACACCCAACAAAAATACTGACTGATTTCGAGAGTACCAACAGATCAACAATAAGTGTGAGTCAGACTGTGATAAAACATGATACTGTCTGGTTGATATGGGTGTGTTTGAAAATAGAGTACCCAAAATAAACCACTGTGCAATCATTCATTTCCCTATATATATATATATATGGCAGTTTTGGAGCCAAAAAAAAACACATGTTGAGTCACACCCAGTTGTTTTTTCCCCATCAATGCAAGTCATGAACCAGCGGGTCGATGTCCAATTGTGTTCTATTTTTGTTTACCGTATATATAAATATGATATGATTATCCCACATGTTACTGATATATATATATATATACTACTTTTACATACACCATCATGGTACCAGATCATGGGATATATACATATATCATTTTACTGGTTATATATATAATATCCCATGATTATCCCAATATATCCACATCTTACCCTTATTCTTATGATAAAAAAAATGGTCAATTACCATGATATCCCCATGCTTCAGCATATACACCCTCTGGTGATCAAAGATGGCAATGGACGGGGTTCGATTCCCCAAGTGTATCCCTTTCCCGCCAGTAATTTAACAAAGCCATGGCCCATCTCGTTCGATGATTTACCGTTTGAAACAGTGATTTTCATTGATTTTACATACTTATTCTAGTTGAATCTAATTTAGCCGAGGCTTGTAGGTGATGTTCCCATTTATCTTATTAAATCGTGTTCCCTTTCATACTTGTTTTTTAGATCTTTCCATATAAATAGTCTACCATGGTCCCCCAGCTACCTCCAGTGGTAGGAGCAGCACGCCTACACGCTGACCGTTGCCAACAGTTTGGGTTCCCTCCTACACGAGGCGGGAAGGCTTGAAAATAGGTACCTCAAAATCCATTGGGCAAAAGATATTTTCCCTATTAACCTGTCATTTTGGGGGTATACACAAAAAAAAACATGCAACCGAATCCCTCTAATATCAAACACCCCCATTCCATGGTCCTACATATGTAGATTCCCAACTAGACCGTGGTTTCTGGGGGGGTGTTTAATAGGGGGAAGGGATGTTTTTTGGGATGTCCCTTTACATTGCCCTTACCTGGGCTGTATATATACATATATGTATATAAATATGTCAGGTACCTCCAAATTAGGTACCTTAGATCTCCATTGGTTCATTATGTTTCCATTATAGGAAACCATGGGTTTAGTAGGGGATTTGCACTTCTTTGGGACCATAGAATGCGTGTGTTAATTCATGTGAACGGGGGATGAGCATTATTAGGCGGATGGGATGGGAATATATGTCCAGTCTTTATGAATATGAACGGGGATGCAAGTATACGTCCACTCTGCATGATGCACTGTCAAAAAAAATGAACCAGAGAAAAAAGAACATGTGTGGTTATTATTCCAGATTATTCCCATGATCTTTCCATTTCTATTCTGATATGATAAAAATCTCCCACGAAACAGGCCGAGCGTCTGGAGGAGGCGGAACCTGTGCTGCGCAAGGCCGGACTTTTGTTTTTTAGTGGTGAATTTCAGGCCGGATTAATGTTGATTACCCTCTGGTAAACTAACGTAACTATGGACAATCACCATTTTTAATGGGAAAACTCACTATAAATGGCCATTTTCAATAGCTATGTTAAATTACCAGAGGGTAATGGTGGTTAATGGTGGCTAATGTAAGTTATTTTTTGGGTGATAACACTGATTTAGATGATTATTTGTGGTGATTAACGGTTATTGTATGTTATTGTTGATGACATGATGAACGGTTTTTTTAAAGGTCAAGGAATGGTCAGATGGTTGATGAATGGTCAGTTCATTAATGGTGTATTGGTGGTAGTTGATAATGTTTTGTATTTTTTTGTAACATTATCAGTTGATATATATACATATAATATCATATTAGAGATCCATGATTAATATATTTGTTGTTTAATGTTTATTGTTTTGAGATTAGATATGATTAGATAACACGGTTTTTGTGATGATTAATATGAATATGTATATAGCTTGGGTTCGGAAATGGTAGTGTTTCATCCAATATGGGAAAGTAACCCAAAATCTTCAGCAAATATAGATATGAAAATTGGGATATATATATATATATGGGTTGATGGAATAATCAAGGTTGACCAATTGTTCCCGTATTTTGTTGGCAAAAACCCAAATCTTCAATTTCCAACGGCTAGACGCCGCCTTCCTGGTCGATGTCTAAAGGATGGCAGCTGATTTCCCATCGATTTTTCGACCAAAAATAGGTCAACTCCACGTGTGATCACATCCAACTCACTTTGCGAAAAAAAACATGTGATATTTAAACAAAAGCTGCTTTATTCGCAGCCACATTGATTTGCGACTTTCGAAACTATGGAATTCCAGATCTATATTTATCCACTTTTTCTAGAAGAGTGAAGATCCACAATTAACCCAGGGATAAAATGAG